TAGAACAACTCTAGAACAACTCTCAAACAACTCTAGAACAACTCTCAAACAACTCTAGAACAACTCTCAAACAACTCTCGAACAACTCTAGACCTACTCTAGACCTACTGTAGTGTTTACCTCAGCACACAGTTTCTGCATCCCAAATGGCACCCAATTCCCTATTTAGTGCACTACTTTTGACCTGGGCCCATAGGTCTCTCGTCAAAAGTAGTGAACTATATAGCGAATAGGGTGCCATTTTGGTCACAGGCAGTGACATCAGTGACACTTGACATTCACCCTGAAATTATCCCTTTAAAATCCATTCAAAATCCCTTTAAAATGGGCTAACTACAGAGGATTTCTGTCTTGAGGCATCCTCTTTGTAAGCGTATTCATTTATTTGATGTCATTAGGAATCATACAAAGCCATCTTCAGGGTGATTTGGATACGGTCATCATCCATCTTCCAACTGCAATTTATTTGGGGTGTTGTAGGCCTATGGAGATATATTTGGGGTGTTGTAGGCCTATGGAGATATATTTGGGGTGTTGGTAGGCCTATGGAGATATATTTGGGGTGTTGGTAGGCCTATGGAGATATATTTGGGGTGTTGGTAGGCCTATGGAGATATATTTGGGGTGTTGGTAGGCCTATGGAGATATATTTGGGGTGTTGGTAGGCCTATGGAGATATATTTGGGGTGTTGGTAGGCCTATGGAGATATATTTGGGGTGTTGGTAGGCCTATGGAGATATATTTGGGGTGTTGGTAGGCCTATGGAGATATATTTGGGGTGTTGGTAGGCCTATGGAGATATATTTGGGGTGTTGGTTATTTCTGTTGTTGGTAGGCCTATGGAGATACAGTGCATTCAGAAAGTATTCAGACCCCTTGACTTTTTCCACATTTTGTTACGTTACAGCCTTATTCTAAAATGGAATAAATCGTTTTTTTCCCCTCATCAATCTACACACAATACACCATAATGACAAAGCAAAAACAGGTTTGTAGAAACATTTGCATATTTATAAAAAATAATAATAACGGAAATATTACATTTACATAATATTTACATAATTATTCAGACCCTTTAATTATTCAGACCCTTTACTCAGTACTTTGTTGAAGCACCTTTGGCAGCGATTACAGCCTTGAGTCTTCTTGGGTATGACACTACAAGCTTGGCACAGCTGTATTTGGGGAGTTTCTCCATTCTTCTCTGCAGATCCTCTCAAGCTCTGTCAGGTTGGATGGGGAGTGTCGCTGCACAGCTATTTTCAGGTCTCTCCAGAGATGTTCGATCGGGTTCAAGTCCGGGCTCTGGTTGGGCCACTTAAGGACATTCAGAGACTTGTCCCGAAGCCACTCCTGCGTTGTCTTGGCTGTGTGCTTAGGGTCGTTGTCCTGTTGGAAGGTGAACCTTCGCCCCAGTCTGAGGTCCTGAGCGCTCTGGAGCAGGGTTTCATCATGGATCTCTCTGTACTTTGCTCTGTTCATCTTTCTTTCCCTCGATCCTGACTAGTCTCCCGGTCCCTGCTGCTGAAAAACACCCTGCCACCACCATGCTTCACCGTAGGGATGGTGCCAGGTTTCCTCTAGACGTGACGCTTGGCATTCAGGCCAAATAGTTAAATCTTGGTTTCATCAGACCATCATGGTCTGAGAGTCCTTTAGGTGCCTTTTGGCAAACTCCAAGCGGGCTGTCATGTGCCTTTTCCTGAGGAGTGGCTTCCGTGTGGCCACTCTACCATAAAGGCCTGATTGATAGAGTGCTGCAGAAATGGTTGTCATTCTGGAAGGTTCTCCCATCTCCACAGAGGAACTCTGGAGCTCTGTCAGAGTGACCATCGGGTTCTTGGTCACCTCCCTGACCAAGGCCCTTCTCCCCCGATTGCCCAGTTTGGCCGGGCGGCCAGCTCTAGGAAGAGTCTTGGTGGTTCCAAACTTCTTCCATTTAAGAATGATGGAGGCCACTGTGTTCTTGGGGACCTTTAATGCTGCAGACATTTTTCTGGTACCGTTCCCCAGATCTGTGCCTCGACACAATCCTGTCTCGGAGCTCTACGGACAATTCCTTCGACCTCATGGCTTGGTTTTTGATACTGCTTTTATCACACATTCTTGTCATGCTGACCGTGTTTCTCCTCAGACCATCTGACATGCACTGTCAACTGTGGGACCTTAAATAGACAGGTGTGTGCCTTTCCAAATAATGTCCAATCAATTGAATTTACCACAGCTGGACTCCAATCAAGTTGTAGAAACATCTCAAGGATGATCAATGGAAACAGGATGCACCTGAGCTCAATTTCAAGTCTCATAGCAAAGGGTCTGAATACTTATGTAAATAAGATATTCTAAAAACCTGTTTTCATGTTGTCATTATGGGGCACTGTGTGTAGATTGGTAAGAAAAAACATTAATTTAATCAATTTTAGAATAAGGTCTGAATACTTTCCGAATACACTGTATACACTGAGTGTACAAAACATTAGGAACACCTGCTCTTTCCATGACATAGACTGACCTGGTGAATCCAGGTGAAAGCTTTGATCCCTTATTGATGTCACTTGTTAAATCCACTTCAGTCAGTGTAGATCAAGGGGAGGAGATCTGTATCTAGAGGACATTTCACCCTGGAACTCATCAATGTCATTGCCAACTCTCTAAACACGTAGTTGTTTTTCTGTTCGCCTCTTTGTTCAGTCATTATGGAGACTATTAGACAGACTCTTTCCCACAGACACACAAAATATCAAGCCTGTGTGTGTGTGTGTGTGTTTGTTTGTGTGTGTGTGTGTGTGAGAGAGAGAGGAAGAGAGCGAGCAACGGGTAGACAGGAGGGGGACGGAGACAGGAGGGGGGGGATGAGACAGAGAGAGGAGGAGGGGGAGGGAGGAAGAGAGAGGGGGAGGGGAGGGAGGAGGCAGAGAGGGGGGAGAGAGACAGAGAGAGGGGGGGTGACAGAGAGAGGGAGGAGGGAGACAGAGAGAGGGGGAGGGAGACAGAGAGGGGGGAGGGAGAGAGAGGGGAGGGAGACAGAGAGAAGGGGGAGGGAGACAGAGAGGGAGACAGAGAGAGGGGGAGGGAGACAGAGAGGGGGGAGGGAGGGAGAGAGGGGGGAGGGAGACAGAGAGAAGGGGGGGAGGGGAGACAGAGCGAGAGAGGAGACAGAGAGAGGGGGAGGGAGACAGAGAGAGGGGGGAGGGAGACAGAGAGAGGGGGAGGGGGAGGGAGGCAGAGAGAGGGGGAGGGAGGCAGAGAGAGGGGGAGAGAGACAGAGAGAGGGGGAGAGGAGAGAGAGGTGGAGGGGAGAGAGAGAGGGGAGGGAGAAGGGAGAGGGAGGAGACAGAGAGAGGGGGAGGAGACAGGGAGAGGGGGGAGGGAGACAGAGAGAGGGGGGAGGGAGACAGAGAGAGGGGAGGGGACGAGAGAGAGGGAGAGAGAGGAGAGAGGGGGAGGGAGACAGAGAGAGGGGGGAGGGAGACAGAGAGAGGGGGAGGGAGACAGAGAGAGGGGGGAGGGAGACAGAGAGAGTGGGGAGGGAGACAGAGAGAGGGGGAGGGAGAACAGAGAGAGGGGGAGGAAGACAGAGAGGGGGTGAGGGAGACAGAGAGAGGGGGAGGGAGGGAGACAAAGAGTGGGGGAGAGAGAGAGAGAGAGAGAGAGAGAGAGAGAGAGTGGGAAGAGAGAGAGAGAGCGAGAGAGAGAGCGGGGGAGGGAGACAGAGAGAAGGGGGAGGGAGACAGAGAGAGGGAGGAGGGAGACAGAGAGAGGGGAGGGGGAGGTAGACAGAGAGAGGGGGGAGGAAAGGAGACAGAGAGAGTGGGGAGGGAGACAGAGAGTGGGGAGGGAGACAGAGAGAGGGGGAGGGAGACAGAGAGAGTGGGGAGGGAGACAGAGCGAGTGGGAGGGAGACAGAGAGAGGGGGAGGGAGAGAGAGAGAGGGGGAGGGAGACAGAGAGAGGGGGAGGGAGACAGAGAGAGTGGGGAGGGAGACAGAGAGAGGGGGGAGGGAGACAGCGAGAGGGGGTGGGAGAGAGACAGAGTAAGTGATGACAGAGAAAGGGGGAGGGGGGGACGGAGAGCGAGACAGATAGAGGGGGGGGGGGGGGGATCCAGGCCAAATTAAGACAAAGATGGTCATTATTCCAATGTTATATAACTATTCCAGGATGCAAATTAAATTATCATTCTTTTGTAAACTCGTTTTTATGCAATTTTGAGACTGAATTTATATTAGATTCAACCAAATACAATGTGTAGATACTGTCGGTACTGGAAGGTTGATGTTGAACTATTGGTGTTATTTAACCATAGTCTTTGTAGTTTCTCTAAACCAGCTGTATTGACCAAGTTGTCTAATCATTTGAGTCATAAGGTGCCTATCCAAGAGATGTGAGTTCAAAGAAATACCATTTTGAGCACAGGAACCCCATGGTGCATCCTCTAGTCCCTCAAGACACCTTTCTTTATTCTCCTAATTTATCATTCTAGAATTTACATAAATCGCTGGGTGACATAGGAAGTTCTCTCAATGTATATGGTGCGCGTGCAGTGCGCTCTTCAGCAATGGGCGTCTGAAATCCAAAGTAATAAATTGATGCTCTGCTTGTCGGATTTATACAAAAGGTCCATTGTCCTTAAGCATTGGTTATACTTTACATATAAACTGCTTACTTATATGTCAATAAAGACAAAGGTTGCTATTGTTATGGTGATGATTATTATTATATTTGGAAGTGTTGCTATTATTACTGATCTCACTTGGTGTTTTCTGTATCTGTGAATATTCAATAAAAGATAGGTGTCCAAAAACATTTTTCCAATATTTTTCTCTGCGCTCATCTGCCAGAGGTTGAGGGGTTGGCCGACGACACACCTCCTCCTCCATGCACCAATGGACATGAAAGAGGACAGAGAGGAGGAGACTGATGCCACAGAAAAGCAACTACCTAAACTTAATTTCTCCACTTTGGGTTGAAGTCTGACAGCGGAAGTTTTGTTCAGCAGCATGGCGGCACCGCTCACTGACCAGGAGAAGCGTAAACAGATCAGTATCAGAGGAATTGTCGGGGTGGAAAACGTCGCCGAGTTGAAGAAAGGTTTTAACCGACATCTCCATTTCACTTTGGTCAAGGACAGGAACGTAGCGACGCCGCGAGATTATTACTTCGCCCTCGCGCACACGGTTCGAGATCACCTGGTGGGAAGATGGATCAGAACCCAGCAGTTCTACTATGAGACCGACCCCAAGGTAAAGTCGCTGCCTGGACAATTCTCCTGGCTACCTGTCTGCTTTGTGCTGTCCTCATTTGGTCCAGTATTAGCTAGCGATTATTTTCGCGAACGAACGCCTCTTCTTGGTGAGGATTCACCATCTTCAGATAATTAGTTTGTAACTTATTTGCAGATAGTCGTTGTTTGAAGCTCAAAAAGCAGTAGTCGCTTCAAACAACGACATATTTGTGTGTGTGTGTGTGTGTGTGTGTGTGTGTGTGTGTGTGTGTGTGTGAGCGAGAGAGGAAGAGCGCGAGCTACGGGTAGACTCAGGGGGCCGGACAGGTAGACGGAGGGGGACGGAGACAGGGACATGTACTAGTCTGTGGCGACCTAAATGCCAGAACTGGACAAGAACCTGACACCCTCAGCACACAGGGGGACAAACACCTACCTGGAGGTGACAGCATTCCCTCCCCCATATGCCCCCCTAGACACAACTACTACAACATAACCAACAAAAACGGGTCACAACTCCTGCAGCTCTGTCACACGCTGGGTATGTACATAGTCAATGGTAGGCTTCGAGGGGACTCCTATGGTAGGTACAGCTATAGCTCATCTCTTGGCAGTAGTACTGTAGACTACTTTATCACTGACCTCAACCCAGAGTCTCTCAGAGCGTTCACAGTCAGCCCACTGACACTCCTATCAGACCACAGCAAAATCACAGTCTACTTATAATATAATATGCCATTTAGCAGACGCTTTTATCCAAAGCAACTTACAGTCATGCGTGCATACATTTTTGTGTATGGGTGGTCCCGGGGATCGAACCCACTATCTTGGCGTTACAAGCGCCGTGCTCTACCAGCTGAGCTACAGAGGACCACTACTTGAACAGAGCAATACTCAATCATGAGGCATCAAAGCCAAAGGAACTGAATAATATTAAGAAATGCTATAGATGGAAGGAAAATAGTGTCGAAACCTACCAAAAAACTATTAGGCAACAACAAATTCAATCCCTTTTTAGACAACTTCCTGGACAACATTTTTCACTGTAATAGTGAAGTTGTAAACTTGGCAGTAGAAAACCTGAACAGTATATTTGACCTCTCAGCTTCCCTATCAAATCTAAAAATCTCTAACAGAAAACCGAAGAAAAGTGACATGGTTTGATGAAGAATGCATAAACCTAAGAAAGAAATGGAGAAACCTATCCAACCAAAAACACAGAGACCCAGAAAACCTGAGTCTACGCCTCCACTATGGTGAATCACTAAAACAATACAGAAATACACTACGGAAAAAGAAGGAACAGCATGTCAGAAATCAGCTTAATGTAATTGAAGAATCCATAGACTAACCACTTCTGGGAAAATTGGAAAACTCTAAACAAACAACAACACAAAGAGCTATCTATCCAAAACGGAGATGTATGGGTAAACCACTTCTCCAATCTTTTTGGCCCTATAACAAAGAACAAACAGCAAAAAAATATACATTATCAAATGCAAATCTTAGAATCAACTATTAAAGACTACCAGAACCCACTGGATTCTCCAATTACATAGAATGAACTACAGGACAAAATACAAACCCTCCAACTCAAAGGCCTGGGATGTTGATGGTATCCTCAATTAAATGATAAAATATACAGATCACAAATTCCAATTGGCTATACTTAAACTCTTTAACATCATCCTTTTCTCTGGCATCTTCCCTAATATTTGGAACCAAGGACTGATCACCCCAATCCACAAAGGTGGAGACAAATCTGACCCCAATAACTACTGTGGGATATGCGTCAACAGCAACTTTGGGAAAATCCTCTGCATTATCATTAACAGCAGGCTAGTTCATTTCCTCAGTGAAAACAATGTACTGAGCAAATGTCAAATTGGCTTTTTACCAAATTACCGTACGACAGACCACGTATTCTCCCTGCACACCCTAATTGACTAACAAACAAAACAAAACAAAGGCCAAGTCTTCTCATGCTTTGTTGATTTCAAAAAAGCTTTTGACTCAATTTGGCATGAGGGTCTGCTATACAAATTGATGGAAAGTGGGGTTGGGGGAAAAACATACATTATAAAATCCATGTACACAAACAACAAGTGTGCAGTTAAAACAACATATATATAAACTAATTGGCGAGGGCACTAGAACAGTCTGCAGCACCCGGCCTCACCCTACTAGAATCTGAAGTCAAATGTCTTCTGTTTGCTGATGATCTGGTGCTTCTGCCCTAGAGCACACAAAAAACTATACATACCTTGGCCTAAACATCAGCGCCACAGGTAACTTCCACAAAGCTGTGAACGATCTGAGAGACAAGGCAAGAAGGGCCTTCGATGCCATCAAAAGGAACATAAAGTTTGACATACCAATTAGGATCTGGCTAAAAATACTTGAATCAGTTATAGAACCCATTGCCCTTTATGGTTGTGATGTCTGGGGTCCGCTCACCAACCAAGAATTCACAAAATGGAACAAACACCAAATTGAGACTGCATGCAGAATTCTGCAAAAATATCCTCAGCGTACAACGAAAAACACCAAATAATGCATGCAGAGCAGAATTAGGCTGATACCCGCTAATTATCAAAATCCAGAAAATAGCCATTACATTTTATAACCACTTAAAAGGAAATGATTCCCAAACCTTCCATAACAAAGCCATCACCTACAGCGAGATTAACTTGGAGAAGAGTCCCCTAAGCAAGCTTGTCCTGGGGCACTGTTCACAAACACAAACAGACCCCACAGAGCCCCAGGACAACAACAACAACACAATTAGACCCAACCAAATCATGAAAAAAAAAAAAAAAAAAGAATTACTTGACACATTGGAAAGAACAAACAAAAAAACAGAGCAAACTAGAATGCTATTTGGCCCTAAACAGAGAGTACACAGTGGCAGAATACCTGACCACTGTGACTGACCCAAACTTAAGGAAAGCTTTGACTATGTACAGACTCAGTGAGCATAGCCTTGCTATTGAGAAAGGCCGCCATAGGCAGACCTGGCTCTCAAGAGAAGACAGGCTATGTGCACACTGCCCACAAAATGAGGTGGAAACTGAGCTGCACTTCCTCACCTCTTGCCAAATGTATGACCACATTAGAGACACATATTTCCCTCAGATTAGAGATCCACAAAGAATTTGAAAACAAACCCAATTTTGATAAACTCCCTTATCTACTGGGTGAAAAAACACAGTGTGCAATCACAGCAGCAATATTTGTGACCTGTTGCCACAAGAAAAGGGCAACCAGTGAAGAACAAACACCATTGTAAATACAACCTATATTTAGGTTTATTTATTTTCCTTTTTGTACTTTAACTATTTGCACATTGTTACAACACTGTATATAGACATAATATGACATTTGAAATGTCTTTATTCTTTTGGAACTTCTGAGGGTAATGTTTACTGTTAATATTTATTGTTTATTTCACTTTTGTTTACTATCTACTTCACTTGCTTTGGCAATGTTAACATACGTTTCCCATGCCAATAAAGCCCTTAAATTGAAATTGAGAGACAGGGGGATGAGACAGTGAGACTGAGAGGAGGAGGGTGAGAGAGGAGGGGGAGGGGGAGAGAGAGAGAGAGGACCGCCCCAACAGATCCACAGATGACGCAATCTCAATCGCACTCAACACTGCCCTTTCCCACCTGGACAAAAGGAACACCTACGTGAGAATGCTTTTCATTGACTACAGCTCAGCGTTCAACCTCACAGTGCCCTCAAAGCTGTGGGCACTGTGAGGTTGAGCTCAGGACCTTGGGACTAAACACCTCCCTCTGCAACTGGATCCTGGACTTCCTGACGGGCCGCCCCCAGGTGGTAAGGGTAGGCAACACATCTGCCACGCTGATCCTCAACACGGGGGCCCCTCAGGGGTGCGTGCTTAGGCAACCTCCTGTACTCCCTGTTCACCCACAACTGCGTGTCCACATCACCAACAAACTATCATGGTCCAAACACACCAATAAAGTCATGAAGAGGGCACGACAACTCCTTTTCCCCCTCAGGACACTGAACATATTTGGCATGGGTCCCCAGATCCTCAAAAGGTTATTCAGCTGCACCATCGAGAGCATCCTGACTGGTTGCATCACCGCCTGGTATGGCATCTGCCCGGCATCCGACCGTAAGGCGCTACAGAGGGTAGTGCGTACGGCCCAGTACATCACTGGGTCCAAGCTTCATGCCATCCAGGACCTCTATACCAGGCGGTGTCAGAGGAAGGCCCAAAAAATTGTCAAAGACTCCAGTCACCCAAGTCATAGACTGTTCTCTCTGCTACCGCACGGCAAGAGGTACCGGAGCGCCAAGTCTAGGACCAAAAGGCTCCGTAACAGCTTCTACCCCCAAGCCATAAGTCTGCTGAACAATTAATCAAATGGCCACCCAGACTATTTACACTGACCCCCTCCATTTGTTTTTACACTGCTGTTACTCGCTGTTTATTATCTATGCATAGTCACTTTACCCCTACCTACATGTACACATTGACTCGGCACCGGTAGCCCCTGTATATAGCCTCATTATTGTTATTTTATTGTGTTACTTTTTATTTTATTTTTTACTTTAGTTTATTTAGTAAATATTTTCTTAACTCTATTTCTTGAACTGCATTGTTGGTTAAGGGCACGTGACAAATACAATTTCATCTGATGTTCCTGGGGTGTATTCATCACTAGGAAGCAAACAGAGAACGGAACAAAACTGGGAGGGACATACCTGACTTTGTTCAATTAAAAACTTTGTTTTTCATGCAAAACGCTTTCTGTTTGGAATAAACGGTTTGCATTGCAAAACGTTTTGCTACGGTCTGCCACTAATGAATACACCCCGATGTTCCCCTGTTCCCCAGCGGGTGTACTACCTCTCCCTGGAGTTCTACATGGGCAGAACCCTCCAGAACACCATGATTAACCTGGGGCTGCAGAACGCCTGCGACGAGGCCATCTACCAGGTGAGACAGAACTGAGAGACATCTGGAACACGCCAGTGGTATGTCTGCAGGCAGGAACAACTGGAGCCAGAGACTAACAAACACTGTTACAAGAGAACTGTGAAAGCATGATTAACACCTTTTAGTCATGCAAGCTAAGCATGATGACATGAGGGTGCAGTAATGCACGAGCTCAAATACACTATTGGGCACTAAAATGGGGCTGTCCTTTTTTTTGTATAGCGAGTTGAATTGAGTTGTTTTTAAGTGTCTGTTTGTCGTGTAGCTGGGTTTGGACATGGAGGACCTGGAGGAGATGGAGGAGGATGCAGGGCTGGGGAACGGAGGCCTGGGCAGACTGGCGGGTACAGTACAGACCAACACCCCCTGTATTTCTAGCCTGGTGCCAGATCTGTGTGTGCTGTCTTGCTAACTCCTATGGCCGTTCATGACCAAAGAAGTTGGCTACACAGCACCAACGTAACTGGGACCAGTCCACAGTGCTATATTTGGTATATAAACTGGGTGGTTCGAGGCCTGAATGCTGATTGGCTGACAGCCGTGGTATATCAGACCATATACCACGGGTTTGACAAAACATATATTTTTACTGCTCTAATTAAGTTGGTAACCAGTTTCTAATAGCAATAAGGCACCTCGGGGGTTTGTGGTATATGACCAATATATCACGGCTAAGAGCCGTATATCCAGGCAACATATACCACACCCCCTTATTACAGAATACAGTGGGTCGACATCAGGTGGAAATCTACAGCAAGCCTGTCCTCTGTCTACAAGCCAGAACAGGAAGTTAGCTAAGAGGCTGCTGTTAGCTGGCCAGAACAGGAAGTTTACCCAACCAATAGGAGGCTGTTGCTGGCCAGAACAGGAAGTTTACCCAACCAATAGGAGGCTGTTAGCTGTTGCCCACAGACACACCTTATTACACTTCACTTATTTTTATTTTTTTTGGTCATTTAGCAGACGTTGTAGTTTGGCTGCGTTTACACAGGCAGCCCAATTCTCAGAAAAAGATCTGATCTGATTGATCAAAAGACCAATTAGTGGAAGAATATCAGAATTCGGCTGCCTATGTAAACGCATTTTTTTTAAAACAAGGGAACAGATATTCATGCCACAAAGCATCTGAAGCAAATGACAACCTCACCGTTGCCGTATCCCAGATCTGTTTGTTCTATATCGCCACCTCCTATAGTCGCTATAACTAACCTCCCATAGGAATATTCCAGAGGAGATACTAAGAAACGCTTAACCCTTCACAACACTGTACTTTTATCCCAACATCAGACAGGTTTTCTTTGCATCCATTGAATCTTCATCCTTCATCCGTACAGTTAATATTTCTGATACATTTGCTATTATTATTATTATTTTTTAATTATTCATTCATTTTTAATTCCCTGTATAGCATGTTTCCTGGACTCTATGGCGACCCTGGGTCTGGCAGCGTATGGTTATGGAATCCGTTATGAATACGGGATCTTCAATCAGAAGATCAAGGACGGTTGGCAGGTAACGACACTTCCCTGCATTCATCTACTGCATTTAAAGGGGCAATCTGGGATTGGTACATCCTTGTTTTGGACTAAATTATTGATATATATAACCATTTGATTCTTGGAGAATATAACTTTTATAAATGCCTCCATGAGCTTATTTCAACTGTCTTACCCCATCAGAAACCAAAATATAAGCTTATTTTAACAATGACAAAGCACAAGGATTTCATTCTTTGCAGTAAAGTATAACTTCTAAAACTCTATTCAGGATGTGCAGGACAGGTTTCATGCATGCCTCTTTTCCACTTCAGTCAATTCATAATCAGTACAATCTAGTTCAGCGTTCAAAAGTGCATTGCACTATCTGCACTGCAAACACACAGCCCCAAATTCAAAAGGTCAAAACCCCTCCGTTGTGTTTGTACTGTAGGTTGTTATCAGACTCAAACGAGGGCAACAACACGTTAGCTTTCTCAACCTCTGAGCCAACCACCGGCTATCACAACAGGCACTGGCTGGTTCCCAAATGGCTCCCTATGTAGTGAACTGCTTTGGACCAGGGGGCCGTAGTATTCTGTTCAAAAGATGTGCACTGTATAGGGAATGGGGTGCTATTTGGGACACAGCCAGTGTTTCACCACTTCAGAGCCGAAGGAGACAGCAGCAACCTCGGTTCCTGTTAATGATTGACCAACACCGCAGACATGGGTTCAAACACAGTTCGAAAATAATTTCAAATACTTTATCTGAGCTCGGTTGAGTTTGTTTGGTGCAGTAGAACCAATAGAATAGTCGGCCAATCGGGCACCTTAGAGTCCGGTCGGACTAGAGCAAACGCTAAAATGTATTTGAAAGATTTCGAATACTATTTGAACCAGGTCTGCAACACTGTGGTGACCCACGTCCTTCCTCTCTATTGCTCCAGCCTTAGACTGCAACACTGTGGCAGGGGCAGATTTCAATAGGTTTCCATTTAAATGGGCCCCACAGCTGCCCAGAATGATACAACCTTTTAGAATGAGAGGCTCAGTTGTACTATTTGTATAGTATTATTATTATTATACTGAACAGATATAAACACAACATGTAAAGTGTTGGTCTGAAATAAAAGATCCCAGAAATGCTCTATACGCACCAAAAGCTTATTTCTCTCAAATTTTGTGCACAAATTTGTTTACATCCCTGTTAGTGAGCATTTCTCCTTTGCCAAGATAATCCATCCACCTGACAGGTGTGGTATATCAAGAAGCTGATTTAAACGGCATTATCATTACACAGGTGCACCTTGTGCTGGGGACAATAAAAGGTAAAATGTGCAGTTTTGTGAAACAACATAATGCCACAGATGTCTCAAGTTTTGAGGGAGCGTGCAATTGGCATGCTGACTGCAGAAGTGTCCACCAGAGCTGTTGCCAGAGAATTTTAATGTTCATTTATCTACCATAAGCCACCTCCAACGTCCTTTTAGAGAATTTGGCAGTATGTCCAACCGGCCTCACAACCACAGACCACGTGTAACCACGCCAGCCCAGGACCTCCACATCCGACTTCTTCACCTGCGGGATCGTCTGAGACCAGCCACCCGGTTCCACTTAGACCAGGCTATGGTTTCATAGTCATGTTGACCCATTCAAGTTTTGCTTGATTTGAAATTCTCTATAAACCCTTATACAGTATGTTGGCATGTGATTGGCTTGTTCCTAGGTGGAAGAAGCAGATGATTGGCTGCGTCATGGTAACCCTTGGGAGAAGGCCCGCCCTGAGTACATGCTACCAGTGCACTTCTACGGCAGAGTGGAGGAGTCTAAGGAAGGGTCCAAATGGGTGGACACACAGGTACTTAATCATGATAATTAATAATACCTTTTCATTTGGAACATGCTAATAATAATGCTAGCAGTATCACTTTGTACCTGCGTATCTATGGTGATTTGAGATGCTTTTGCTAATGTACTTTACATGGTTACTAGTGTTATTACACTACACAGGTATAACCGCAACTAAGGGCCATTGTGGTGATATATTTTAAAAAATATTGTTTTGGTTATTGGTCAACCTTGCTAAAAGTGTTTACTGATTATTTATGTTAAATTCAAGTGTTACCAATTCTTCCCATGCGTTGACTCACAGTACATTTACATTTTAGTCATTTAGCAGACGCTCTTATCCAGAGCGACTTACAGTACCTGCATATCAATGATTTATTGAGCTTGGTATTTATTAATTTATCATCTTTAAAGTTTCAGTTTTTTTAAGATGATAAATAACTCTTAAATTTCAACTTAATCTTAAACCTAATCTTAATCCTTTGTCCCATGCCTCGCCTCTGTAGGTGGTCCTGGCCATGCCCTATGACACGCCCATCCCTGGATACATGAACAACACAGTCAACACCATGAGGCTGTGGTCTGCCCGAGCTCCCAACGATTTCAACCTAATGGACTGTAAGTGGCCAGGCGGATGACTTGACTTTTTAACCCTGCTAGCTCTGGTCCAGGGCCTTAGTGTGGCTTCCTCAAAAGGCTTGAAGAAGGCTTAGTGTTAGCGAGCCGCACAAACGCCCTGGACCAGAGCTAACTTTGAAGCTAACTTGAGATGCAAGCACTTTTAGTCAGAATCTCAACTAAATTACGAATTTTTGGCAATGTACGCTTTGTGGAGGAAACATGAAAGGCAGACAGATGTCAAGTTAGAGTCCAGGCCTAAATGATAACAGTATTGAACCAGTGAATAATATGAAGCACTTTCTTCTGAGGAACAGAAATGTACATGTCCTCTCCCATTAAGGTCCTATACATCACATGTCCTCTCCCATTAAGGTCCTATACATCACATGTCCTCTCCCATTAAGGTCCTATACATCACATGTCCTCTCCCTTTAAGGTCCTATACATCACATGTCCTCTCCCTTTAAGGTCCTATACATCACATGTCCTCTCCCATTAAGGTCCTATACATCACATGTCCTCTCCCTTTAAGGTCCTATACATCATCACATGTCCTCTCCCATTAAGGTCCTATACATCACATGTCCTCTCCCATTAAGGTCCTATACATCACATGTCCTCTCCCATTAAGGTCCTATACATCACATGTCCTCTCCCATTAAGGTCCTATACATCACATGTCCTCTCCCATTAAGGTCCTATACATCACATGTCCTCTCCCATTAAGGTCCTATACATCACATGTCCTCTCCCATTAAGGTCCTATACATCACATGTCCTCTCCCATTAAGGTCCTATACATCACATGTCCTCTCCCATTAAGGTCCTATACATCACATGTCCTCTCCCATTAAGGTCCTATACATCACATGTCCTCTCCCATTAAGGTCCTATACATCACATGTCCTCTCCCATTAAGGTCCTATACATCACATGTCCTCTCCCATTAAGGTCCTATACATCACATGTCCTCTCCCATTAAGGTCCTATACATCATCACATGTCCTCTCCCATTAAGGTCCTATACATCACATGTCCTCTCCCATTAAGGTCCTATACATCACATGTCCTCTCCCATTAAGGTCCTATACATCATCACATGTCCTCTCCCATTAAGGTCCTATACATCACATGTCCTCTCCCATTAATGTCCTATACATCACATGTCCTCTCCCATTAAGGTCCTATACATCACTTCACTTCTATATGTCATTCTGTGTCCTCTCCTCAGTCAATGTTGGCGATTACATCCAAGCTGTTCTGGACAGGAATCTGGCAGAGAATATTTCCCGTGTGCTCTATCCCAACGATAACGTAAGTTCTAGATTGGTACATTGGACCACGTAGTTGTTAGTCCATTCTCTCCCTTTACATTTACATCATTTAGCAGACGCTCTTATCCAGAGCCACTTACAATAGTGAGTGCATACCTTTTCTTTTTTTTTTTTTCTTCCATACTGGTCCCCTGTGGGAATCAAACCCACAACCCCTGGGGTTGCAAGCGCCTTGCTCTACCAACTGAGTCTCTCTCTCTCTCTCACTTTGGCACCTGTTCTTTTCTCCTCCTCCTGTTGTAGTTTGTGGACGTTTCCCAAATGGCACCCTATTCCTTTTAATAGTGCACCACTGCTACCCTATGTGCCCTGGTCAAAAAGTAGTGCACTATAAAGGAATAGGGTGCCATTTGGGACACACTCCTCCTCTCCTCCTCTGTTGTAGTTCTTTGAGGGCAAGGAGCTACGTCTGAAGCAGGAGTACTTCGTGGTGGCTGCCACTCTCCAGGACATCATCCGACGCTTTAAGAACTCCAAGAAGGGCTCCACCGGCCCCGTGTCCTTCCACAGCTTCCCAGAGAAAGTAGGTTTCTTGTTGATTTTTATCATGACTCGCTGAATCCTAACAAAAAAATACAGTTGGTTATTTTGATTTGATTTGATTGTGTTGACAGGTGGCCATCCAGCTGAATGACACTCATCCTGCCATGGCCATCCCGGAGCTCATGAGGGTCTTTGTGGACATCGAGAAACTCGACTGGGATACGGTGCGTTAGAGAGAGAGATGAAACTTTTTTATATTTCTTGTATGAAAATCAAACCACTAAACTTTTGTGTAACTTGTATAATAAGTCCGTGTGTCCAGTATGTTGGGTAAATGAGTGAAAGCCGTGCAGCACAACACCCTGAAGCACCTTTATCTCATAGAACTCGTTTCAAGGGCCTCGTCTGTCGTAGCCTGGCAGTGTACAACCACAGGGAGTTGGCTATGCAGCACGATAACGGATCTGGGGCCACAAGGCCATTTCATTCAGTGTGCACTGTGTTTATTAGAACCATTTGCTCTTTCCTGTCAGGCGTGGGACATCACCAAGCGGACCTTTGCGTACACCAACCACACGGTGCTCCCTGAGGCTCTGGAGCGCTGGCCCGTTAGCTTGCTGGAGACACTGCTGCCCAGACACCTCCAGATCATCTACAGGATCAACCAGGGACATCTGGACGTACGTACTGTATAGACTGGGTTCAGTGGGTGGTATTCTAACTGATGTACTATTATAGACGTTGATACTGAATGACTTGAAATATGTCCCCCTTACAAGACGAATGGAAACTCATCCGGTCCACCTTAACTCCCCACTCCTCCTCCTTGGCCCTAATTCATCCATATACATGCCGCTTGTACTGTGCCTATAAGCGGACTGTTCAGATCTGCAGCATCATATGGTTTAGGAGGGATATGGAGCGGATTGGGACCAGCTGACAGAGTTTGTTTTATGGTGTTTCTCCAGGGGATTTCGGCTCTCTTCCCAGAGGACGTGGATCGGATACGCAGGATGTCTCTGATCGAGGAGGACGGGGGCAAGAGGGTCAACATGGCCCACCTGTGCATCGTGGGATCTCACGCCGTCAACGGAGTCGCTGAGATACACTCCAACATCATCAAGACTGATGTGTAAGATGGTTAATCTCTACTGTATTCTCCCTGATAGTAGCAGCATTCTCTCTGATGGTTCATCTCTACTGTATTCTCCCTGATAGTAGCAGCATTCTCTCTGATGGTTCATCTCTTCTGTATTCTCCCTGATAGTAGCAGCATTCTCTCTGATGGTTCATCTCTACTGTATTCTCCCTGATAGTAGCAGCATTCTCTCTGATGGTTCATCTCTACTGTATTCTCCCTGATAGTAGTAGCATTCTCTCTGATGGTTCATATCTACTGTATTCTCCCTGATAGTAGCAGCATTCTCTCTGATGGTTCATCTCTACTGTATTCTCCCTGATAGTAGCAGCATTCTCTCTGATGGTTCATATCTACTGTATTCTCCCTGATAGTAGCAGCATTCTCTCTGATGGTTCATCTCTACTGTATTCTCCCTGATAGTAGCAGCATTCTCTCTGATGGTTTATCTCTACTGTATTCTCTTCAGTCTGAAACACTGTTGATTTGCTACGGTGGGCCTTATTGAACACGATTCTACTGTCTTCTAGTAGCATCCTTCTAGATTCTAAAATATATTTAATCTTTTGTTTTGAAAGGTTCCGAGACTTCAGCGAATTAGAACCGGAGAAGTTCCAGAACAAGACCAATGGCATCACTCCTAGACGCTGGCTCCTCCTCTGTAACCCGGGATTGGCTGAGCTCATTGCTGAGGTTTGATTGGCATCTTTGATTGGCCGTTTTATGTCTTTGATATTCCTGTATCTTTGAATGCCATTTTCTTTGCTAATTTGCTATGTCACGTTCATGTACTTTGTCTACATGTTTCTAGGCCATTGGGGAGGAATATGTGAAGGACCTCAGCCAGTTACAGAAGCTCAATGAGCTGGTAGATGATGATGCCTTCATTAGAGACGTCTCTAAAGTCAAGCAGGTAAAGCTTATCATATCTGTCTCCCCACCCCTTCATTAACAACGGTCTATACGCATGAACTATAACGTATCATGGTGCATATTTGTGAGTTCTACTCTCTGTATTTACTGTTCTGAAGAACCATGCCATTTCCCAATAGTAATATTGGCAGAAAATTACCCCCATAGATAAACACAACAGCCAGGCAAACAATCCAACCAACTGAATAAATACACTGAATACACATCAGTGTGGAACTCTTAATTCCATGCAACACAGAGCAGACAGGAAGTTGACCATATATAATTCCATGCAACGCAGAGCAGACAGGAAGTTGACCATATATACAGTACCAGTCAAAAGTTTGGAGACACCTACTCATTCAAGGGTTTTTCTTTATTTTTACTATTTTCTACATTGTAGAATAATAGTGAAGACATCAAAACTATGAAATAACACATATGGAATCATGTAGTAACCCAAAAAGTGTTAAACAAATATATATATTTTGTATTTGAGATTCTTCAAATAGCCACCCTTTGCCTTGATGACAGCTTTGCACACTCTTGGCATTCTATCAACCAGCTTCACCTGGAATGCTTTTCCAACAGTCTTGAGTTCCCACATACGCTGAGCACTTGTTGGCTGCTTTTCCTTCACTCTGCCGTCCGACTCATCCCAAACCATCTCAATTGGGTTGAGGTCGGGGGATTGTGGAGGCCAGGTCATCTGATGCAGCACTCATCACTCTCCTTCTTGGTAAAATAGCCCTTACACAGCCTGGAGGTGTGTTTGGTCATTGTCCTGTTGAAAAACAAATGATAGTCCCACTAAGCCCAAACCAGATGGGATGGCGTATCGCTGCAGAATGCTGTGGTAGCCATGCTGGTTAAGTGTGCCTTGAATTCTAAATAAATCACAGACCGTGTCACCAGCAAAGCACCCCCACACCATAACACTTCCTCCTCCATGCTTTACGGTGGGAAATACACATGCGGAGATCATCCGTTCACCCACACCACGTCTCACAAAGACACAGAGGTTGGAACCAAACATCTCCAATTTGGACTCCAGACCAAAGGACAAATTTCCACTGGTCTAATGTCCATTGCTCGTGTTTCTTGGCCCAAGCAGGTCTCTTCTTCTTATTGGTGTCCTTTAGTAGTGGTTTCTTTGCAGCAATTAGACCATGAATGCCTGATTCACACAGTCCCCTCTGAACAGTTGATGTTGAGATGTGTCTGTGACTTGAACTCTGTGAAACATTTATTTGGGCTGCAATTTCTGAGGCTGGTAACTCTAATGAACTTATCCTCTGCAGCAGAGGTAACTCTGGGTCTTCCATTCCTGTGGTGGTCCTCATAAGAGCCAGTTTCATCATAGCACTTGATGGTTTTTGCGACTGCATTTGAAGAAACATTCAAAGTTCTTGAAATGTTCCATATTGGCTTAAAGTAATAATGGACTGTCATTTCTCTTTGCTTATTTGAGCTGCCCTACCTTGTCACAACACAACTGATTGGCTCAAACGCATTAAGAAGGAAAGAAATTCCACAAATTAACTTTTAAGAAGGCACACCTGTTAATTAAAATGCATTCCAGGTGACTACCTCATGAAGCTGGTTGAGAGAATGCCAAGAGTGTGCAAAGCTATTTGGCGAAGGGTGGCTATTTTGAAGAATCTCAAATATAAAATATATTTTGATTTGTTTCACACTTTTTTTTGGTTACTACATGATTCCATATGCGTTATTTCATAGTTTTGATGTCTTCACTATTATTCTACAATGTAGAAAATAGTAAAAAAATAAAGAAAAACCCTTGAATGAGTAGGTGTGTCCAAACTTTTGACTGGTAGTGTAATTCCATGCAACGCAGAGCAGGCAGGAAGTTGACAATATAATTTAGCAGAACATTTTTGTTCCTTGGTACACAGAGCATGATGCTGATGCTACTATTTCATAATAAGATCATCCTATCAAACTGATCCCATTGTTTGAACAGGGTTATGCCCCAAATACACTACTTCTGACCCTGGTCTGACCCCTATGGGCCTAGTTATTATATTTATTTATTTATTTATATATATATATATATATATATATTAGCCTAGTGGCACTATATAGGAAAAATGGTACCATTTTTGGATGCAACCCAGGAATGGAGGAAAGCTAAATTGAGAAAGATCCTGTCTCCCCCTACAGGCTGCTCCATGGTCAGATGTATTAGGGGCCATGGTCACAGGGAGTGTGTTCACTAAAATGGGAATACAATGCCATTTTTGTATCAAGTCCATGTATTTCTGTGCTCCAGGATAACAAGGATAAGTTTTCCCAGTACCTGGAGAAAGAGTACGCGGTGGAAATCAACCCGTTCTCCATGTTTGACGTCCACGTCAAGAGGATCCATGAGTACAAGCGCCAGCTCCTCAACTGCCTTCACATCGTCACCGTGTACAACCGTACGTCCTAAGATGCTTCCCAAATGGCACCCTATATAGTGCACTAGTTTGGGGGGGGAATAGTGTGTCATTTTGGGACGCATTTATTCTCCTCCCTGCCTTATGGATGACCCTTGGTTATAAATGATCTGTGAAGCTTCTACGTGAATTCCCATGTTGTAGCCTCTGTCTGATGAAGGTCTCTGACCCGAAACATCGCAATATGTTCTACAATAAACTATTATTATTTGTATAAGAGAGTGTCTCTCCTCACCTTCTGATCCGTGTTGTGTCCTGACATGGGTACTGTACCGTCAAATCCTTATGCATACAGATATAGGGCGGCAGGTAGCTTAGTGGTTAAGAGCGTTGTGCCAGTAACCGAAAGGTCGTTGGTTCTAATCCCCGAGCCGACTAGGTGAAAAATCTGTCGATGTGCCCTTAAGCAAGGCACTTAACCCTAATTGCTCCTGTAAGTCGCTCTGGATAAGAGCGTCTGCTAAATGACTAAAATGTAAATGTAAATGTATGAAGGCTATATTTAGGCGTGTAATAAGTAACACCACCTTTTTTTTTAAAAATCTGATCAAATATTTAGTTTATTTGTTTTTGTTTTTTTGAAGGTATCAAGAAGAACCCAAAAGCACCTTTTGTTCCCCGGACTGTGATCATTGGTGGGAAGGTACGTACGGGACTCACTCAACTCAAAACCCATTTTACAGGAGTAGCCTAGGACTCTTTCTCAATATCGGAAAGAGGGAGGGACCTCTGACCTTCTCATCCAATGTGTTTTGAGAAGGAGAGAGGACACGAGGAATCAAAGGAAATGCAATTGAGATTCTCCCTGTGTCTTTAATTTATTCCTTGTAGCCTCTTCCCTCGGTTTCAAAACGCATTGGAGGAAAAGCTTGAGGGGAGGAACTGTGGATCTTCTCCTCAGATGCGTTTTGAGAAGGAGGTGAAGAGCGGGGACACCCTAGTGAAATTAAATGGAACTCTAGGGGCCCTGGTCAAACGTAGTGCACTATATAGGGAAAAGGGTACCATTTTGGATGCACATCCAGGAATGGAGGAAAACTAAATTGAGAAAGATCCTGTCTCCCCCTACAGGCTGCTCCAGGGTACCACATGGCCAAGATGATCATCAAGCTGATCACAGCTGTGGGGGAGGTGGTCAACAATGACCCTGTGGTGGGCAGCAAGCTGAAGGTCATCTACCTGGAGAACTACAGGGTCTCTCTGGCTGAGAAAGGTACTGTATCTATCTACTACATATTGGGCGGCAGGTAGCTTAGTGGTTAAGAGCGTTGTGCCAGTAACCGAAAGGTCTCTGGTTCTAATCCCCGAGCCGACTAGGTGAAAAATCTGTCGATGTGCCCTTGAGCAAGGCACTTAACCCTAATTGCTCCTGTAAGTCGCTCTGGATAAGAGCGTCTGCTAAATGACCAATTTATTATTTATTTATTTATTACTATATATCTATCTGGAGAAAGGTACTGTATCTATCTACTATATATCTACCTGGAGAAAGGTACTGTATCTATCTACTATATATCTATCTGGAGAAAGGAACTGTATCTATCTACTATATATCTACCTGGAGAAAGGTACTGTATATATCTACTATATATCTATTTGGAGAAAGGAACTGTATCTATCTACTATATATCTACCTGGAGAAAGGTACTGTATCTATATCTATCTACCTGGAGAAAGGTACTGTATATATCTACTATATATCTATCTGGAGAAAGGTACTGTATATATCTACTATATATCTATCTGGAGAAAGGTACTGTATCTATCTACTATATATCTACCTGGAGAAAGGTACTGTATCTATCTACTATATATCTACCTGGAGAAAGGTACTGTATATATCTACTATGCACTGAGTGTCAATTCGTTGGGGCATGGACTCTACAAGGTGTTGAAAGCGTTCCACAGGGATGCTGGCCCATGTTGACTCCAATGCTTCCCACAGTTGTCTTGTTGGCTGGATGTCCTTTGGGTGGTGGACCATTCTTGATACACACGGGAAACTGTTGAGTGTGAAAAACCCAGCAGCATTGCAGTTCTTGACACACAAATCGGTGCGCCTGGCACCTACTACCATACCCCGTTCAAAGGCACTTCAATATTTTGCCTTGCCCATTCACCCTCTGAATGGCACACATACACAATCCTTGTCTCAAAGGTTAAATAAGGATTTTTAAGCCGTCTCCTCCCTTTCATCTACACTGATTTGAAGTGGATTTAACAATGACCTCAATAGCTTAGTGGTTAAGAGCATTGTGCCAGTAACCGAAAGGTCGCTGGTTCTAATCCCTGAGCCGACTAGATGAAAAATCTGTCGGTGTGCCCTTGAGCAAGGCACTTAACCCTAATTGCTCCTGTAAGTCGCTCTGGATAAGAGCGTCTTCTAAATGAAAAAAATAAAAATAATAATAAGAGATCAAAGTTTTCACCTGGTCAGTCTGTCATGGAAAGAGCAGGTGTTCCTAATGTTTTGTATACTCAGTGTATCTCTATCTGGAGAACTACAGGGTCTCCCTGGCTGAGAAAGGCACTGGATATTTATCTACAGTCGCTAGTGAAAGTCTGCAGTCTTCACATTTAGCTGCCTTAAAATTCAATCTAAAGGGATTAAATGTAATTTATTTCCCCCCCCCTACCAATCTACATAATTTAATTCACATTTTCAAAGTGAAATAAATATTCTAGAAAATCTTCCAAATGAATACTAAATAAAATGGGAAGCTGTCTTGATTGTGAATGTCTTCACACCCCAGACTTAATTTTTCAAGCTCAGTACATTTGGTTGGGAATCATTGATGGACAGCAATATTCAAACCTTGTCTCTGATTTTCAAGCAGATTTAAGTCGGGGCTGAGACTGGACCATTCAGGAGCTAATAATACCAATTGGAAAGCCATTTTGCATTGTTTTTGGCATTACAATTTGTGTAATTTTCCAGCTGAAAAATAAAACTCTACCCCAGGGTTTTCAGAAGACTACGTCGGGTTTTCCTCTTAACCTTTTTACACGGTCTTGTCTCCTTTCATATTTATTTGGATCCTGACAAACTCTCCAGTCCCTGCCAGTGACTAGCATACCCATAACATGATGCTGCCACCATTTAATATTTACTTTCAGGGGAAAAGTATCATCATTATCCTTGTGGGAGTATTAGAGATGTACAGGTAACTGGCCAAAATAAAGGAAACACCAACATAAAGTGTCCTTTAAAAGGGTGTCGAGACACCACGAGACAGAACAGCTTCAATGTACCTTGGCAAAGATTTTACAAATGTCTAGAACTCTATCGGAGGGAAGCGACAACATTCTTCCACGAGAAATTCCATAATTCGGTGTGTTTTGTTGATGATGGTAGAAAACGCTGTCTCAGGCGCCGCTCCAGAATGTCCCATAAGTGTTGAATTGGGTTGAGATCTGGTGACTGAGACGTCCTTGGCATATGGTTTACATCATTTTGAAGCTCGTCAAACCATTTAGTGACCACTCGTGCCCTGTGGATGAGGGAATTGTCATCCTATGGGGGCGTAGCCAAAATAATGGCCTGCTTACATGACCCTAAGCATGATGGGATGTTAATTGCTTAATTAACTCATGGAACCACACCTGTGTGGAAGCACCTGCTTTCAATATACTTTGTGTCCCTCATTTACTCAAGCGTTTCCTTTTATTTTGGCAGTTACTCTATTAGATACAGGTATCTCTATATGTGCGTCCCAAATGCGCCAGGTAGCCTAGCGGTTAAGAGCACTGGGCCAATAACCGAAAGGTCGCTGGTTTGAATCCCCAAGCTGACTAGGTGAAAAATATGTCTGTGCCCTTGAGCAAGGCACTTAACCCTAATTGCTCCTTTTACGTGGCTCTGGATAAGAGCGTCTGCTGAATGACTAACATGATCAATGTAAATCTGGTTCTGGTCAAAAGTAGTGCTCTATGAAGGGAACAAGGTACTATCTGGGACACACAAATACACTATCATGTATTAGAGATGTATCCGTTTTTCTGTCACTACAGTAATCCCAGCCACGGACCTGTCTGAGCAGATCTCCACAGCTGGAACGGAGGCATCGGGCACTGGGAACATGAAGTTCATGCTGAACGGAGCGCTTACCATCGGCACCATGGACGGAGCTAATGTAGAGATGGCCGAGGAGGCTGGAGAGGAGAACATGTTCATCTTCGGCATGAGGGTGGAGGACGTGGCAGAGATGGACATAGAGGGGTAACACACAGAGAGAGGGACATAGAGGGGTAACACACAGAGAGAGGGACATAGAGGGGTAACACACACAGAGAGGGACATAGAGGGGTAACACACAGAGAGAGGGACATAGAGGGGTAACACACAGAGAGAGAGGGACATAGAGGGGTAACACACAGAGAGGGACATAGAGGGGTAACACACAGAGAGAGGGACATAGAGGGGTAACACACAGAGAGAGGGACATAGAGGGGTAACACACAGAGAGGGGCATAGAGGGGTAACACACAGAGAGGGACATAGAGGGGTAACACACAGAGAGAGGGACATAGAGGGGTAACACACAGAGAGGGGCATAGAGGGGTAACACACAGAGAGAGGGACATAGAGGGGTAACACACAGAGAGGGACATAGAGGGGTAACACACAGAGAGGGACATAGAGGGGTAACACACAGAGAGGGACATAGAGGGGTAACACACAGAGAGAGGGACATAGAGGGGTAACACACAGAGAGAGGGACATAGAGGGGTAACACACAGAGAGGGACATAGAGGGGTAACACACAGAGAGAGGGACATAGAGGGGTAACACACAGAGATGGACATAGAGGGGTAACACACAGAGATGGACATAGAGGGGTAACACACAGAGAGGGACAGAGGGGTAACACACAGAGAGAGGGACATAGAGGGGTAACACACAGAGAGAGAGGGACATAGAGGGGTAACACACAGAGAGAGACATAGAGGGGTAACACACAGAGAGAGACATAGAGGGGTAACACACAGAGAGAGGGACATAGAGGGTAGGGTTTGTTTTCCCAAAGATATCTAATACTATTCTGTCTATGGGATCTACTTAATGGAACGTCACATCAACAATGCCATAAAGTTGGGTGACGCTAAACTCAATCAGAAACTTGACAAAATGTACGATTTTATTGAGTGCGTCATACATTAACACATTGTTTACCAATTTTGGTTGAACGGGAAGTTGCTCTGTTGTAAACCTGTCATTTAGAGAGGTGACTATGATGTCTGTTGTGAGAAACCTTGCTACTCTATTCTCTCCTATAAGCTACGACGCCATGACGTATTATAAGAAGATTCCAGAACTGAAGCAGGTCATTGATCAGATCAACGGTGGATTCTTCAGCCCCAAACAACCAGACCTCTTCAAAGACGTCACCAACATGCTCTTCAACCATGACCGGTGGGTAGCGGCTCAACCCCAAATGGCACCCTGTTCCCTATATAGTGCACTACCTTCATACCTATAGGCCCTGTTCATAAGTAGTGTACTGTATAGGGAATAGGGTGCCATTTGGGATGCGGGAATACCATTACCAGAAGGGTCAAGGAACGCCGCTCACGTCAATTTGACTGGAACGTTGACTGCAACACACTTCGCAGAACATTATGATTTGAATGGGAATGTTCCGTTCTGGAAATGTGATTTGTATGGCTACAGGACTGTTGGCTGCTGTGGTCCTTCCTGTCCTTCCTGAGTCTTGGCATTGACTGTCTGTTTCTTCAGATTCAAGGTGTTTGCAGACTATGAGGACTACATAAAGAGCCAGGAGAAAGTCAGCCAACTGTATCAGGTAATTATCATTATCCCCCATGCACCTCTAGCTAATAACAACTATATCAGGTAATCATCATTATCCCCCGTGTACCTCTAGCTAATAACAACTATATCAGGTAATCATCATTATCCCCCGTGTACCTCTAGCTAATAACAACTATATCAGGTAATCATCATTATCCCCCGTGTACCTCTCGCTAATAACGTGGATATGGATCATACTGCAGAAAATATTGTTTTATTTTCCCAGGTAAGTTGAGTGAGAACACATTCTCATTTACAGCAACGACCTGGGGAATAGTTACAGGGGAGAGGAGGGGGGGATGAATGAGCCAATTGGAAGCTGGGGATGATTAGGTGGTCATGATGGTATGAGGGCCACATTGTGAATTTAGCCAGGACACCGGGGTTAACACCCCTACTCTTACGATAAGTGCCATGGGATCTTTTTTTAAACCTTAGGCCGCTGTGCCACTCGGGAAGCCACCATGGGATCTTTAGTGACCACAGAGAGTCAGGACACCCGTTTAACATCCCATCTGATAGACTGCACCCTACACAGGGTAATGTCCCCAGTCACTGCCCTGGGATGTTTTTTTTTTTTTTTAGTGCCTCCTACTGGCCCTCCACCACCACATCCAGCAGCATCTGGTCTCCCATCCAGGGACCGACCAGGACCAACCCTGCTTAGCTTCAGAGGCAAGCCAGCAGTGGGATGCATGGTGGTCTGCTGCTGGAGCCTGATTACAATAGAGCCTGATACGGATCATACTGCATAAAATATTACAATAGAGCCTGATACGGATCATACTGCATAAAATATTACAATAGAGCCTGATACGGATCATACCGCATAAAATATTACAATAGAGCTTGATACGGATCATACTGCAGAAAATATTACAATAGAGCCTGATACGGATCATACAGCATAAAATATTACAATAGAGCCTGATACGGATCATACTGCAGAAAATATTACAATAGAGCCTGATACGGATCATACAGCATAAAATATTACAATAGAGCCTGATACGGATCATACTGCAGAAAATATTACAATAGAGCTTGATACGGATCATACTGCATAAAATATTACAATAGAGCCTGATACGGATCATACTGCAGAAAATATTACAATAGAGCTTGATACGGATCATACTGCATAAAAGATAAGTCTGGGCACAATTACCATTCTATGGTTGTCCTTTGTGGCACAACAGTAGGTACGACAGTGGTGTTAGCAGTACCAAAGTTGTGGGTTCAATTCCCACAGGGATCACATACTACCCTAAACATGTATGCACTCACTGTACTGCCAGTCCTATTGGACCAAAGTGTCTAAGTGTCATCATTATATAATGAAGGTTTGCTTGCAATGACTGACGTGGTTGTCTTAGCTGAATGCACTGACGTTACATTTCTCTGGATAACAGCTTCTGCTGAATGACCAAAATGTACAAGGAAAGTGGCACAATATAAACTCAGCAAAAAAAGAAACGTCCCCTTCTCAGGACCCTGTCTTTCAAAGATAATTCGTAAAAATCAAAATAACTTCACAGATCTTTATTGTAAAGGGTTTAAACACTGTTTCCCCATGCTTGTTCAATGAACCATAAACAATTAATGAACATGCACCTGTGGAACGGTCGTTAAGACACTAACAGCTTACAGACGGTAGGCAATTAAGGTCACAGTTATGAAAACTTAGGACACTAAAGAGGCCTTTCTACTGACTCTGAAAAACACCTAAAGAAAGATGCCCAGGGTCCTGCTCATCTGCGTGAACTTGCCTTAGGCATGCTGCAAGGAGGCATGAGGACTGCGGATGTGGCCAGGGCAATAAATTGCAATGTCCGTACTGTGAGACGCCTAAGACAGCGCTACAGGGAGACAGGACGGACAGCTGATCGTCCTCGCAGTGGCAGACCACGTGTAACAACACCTGCACAGGATCAGTACATCTGAACATCACACCTGCGGGACAGGTACAGGATGGCAACAACAACTGCCCGAGTTACACCAGGAACGCACAATCCCTCCATCAGTGCTCAGACTGTCTGCAATAGGCTGAGAGAGGCTGGACTGAGGGCTTGTAGGCCTGTTGTAAGGCAGGTCCTCACCAGACATCACCGGCAACAATGCCTATGGGCACAAACCCACCGTCGCTGGACCAGACAGGACTGGCAAAAAGTGCTCTTCACTGACGAGTCGCGGTTTTGTCTCACCAGGGGTGATGGTCGGATTCGCATTTATCGTCGAAGGAATGAGCGTTACACCGAGGCCTGTACTCTGGAGCGGGATCGATTTGGAGGTGGAGGGTCCATCATGGTCTGGGGCGGTGTGTCACAGCATCATCGGACTGAGCTGGTTGTCTTTGCAGGCAATCTCAACGCTGTGCTTTACAGGGAAGACATCCTCCTCCCTCATGTGGTACCCTTCCTGCAGGCTCATCCTGACATGACCCTCCAGCCATACTGCTTGTTCTGTGCGTGATTTCCTGCAAGACAGGAATGTCAGTGTTCTGCCATGGCCAGCGAAGATCCTGGATCTCAATCCCATTGAGCACATCAGGGACCTGTTGGATCGGAGGGTGAGGGCTAGGGCCAATCCCCCCAGAAATGTCCGGAAACTTGCAGGTGCCTTGGTGGAAGAGTGGGGTAACATCTCACAGCAAGAACAGGCAAATCTGGTGCAGTCCATGAGGAGGAGATGCACTGCAGTACTTAATGCAGCTGGTGGCCACACCAGATACTGACTGTTACTTTTGATTTTGACCCCCTCTTTGTTCAGGGACACATTATTCCATTTCTGTTAGTCACATGTCTGTGGAACTTGTTCAGTTTGTCTGTTGTTGAATCTTGTTGTGTTCATACAAATATTTACACATGTTAAGTTTACTGAAAATAAACACAGTTGACAGTGAGAGGACGTTTCTTTTTTTACTGAGTTTATATTATCATGTTGTTGTTTTTTTCTTATAGAACCCGAGGGAGTGGACCAAGATGGTGATCAAGAACATCGCTGCATCCGGAAAGTTCTCTAGCGACCGCACCATCACCGACTACGCCACGGAGGTGTGGGGGGTGGAGCCTACAGACCTGAAGATCCCACCCCCCAATGAGCCACGCGAGGCCCTCGACAAGACAGCCAGGGTGCTGAGGGAGAAGTGAGGCTGCCTGTTGTGGTGTGGCCAGGGTGAAGTTTCCCCCTAGATGCTGATCTAGTCAGTTTAGCATTTCCCCCCATTTTAATGGTTAACGTTAGGATTGAGAGATGGGGAAGCTGATCCTTGATCTGTACCTCGGGAAAACATCACCCCAGACTGCCTGACGTTATTTAAAGGGAAAATCTGGGATTCAGACAACAAAGTGGTCACCCCGCAAATGTATACACGGACCTGTGGATGCCATGCCATCCATGAGATCGAAACGTTTTAACCCTTTACCGTGTTTGTTTACAATGATGTAAAGCAAGTCAAAAAATCTATATACCAATCCCAGATTGCCCCTTTTTTAACTCAATAAACTGGGCTCTTTATGTAAGGCAGTTGACTACTTAACTGATGCAAAATAACAGTCTGTTACATACTTTCAGCATCAACTAACAATGTTCTATTTTTCTGAATCCATCTTCTAAATACAAGGTGCTACACTGTTGCTACCGAAGTCTTACCCTGTCTTTCAGTTGCCAGTGAGTGGTCCATTCTGAACAGAACTGGCTCAAACTGTACTTGAAAGTGAATTTATCAAGAAAGTTTATTGTGACCCTTAATTCTCTAATATTCAGTATTGTTACTTAAAAATAAATCTAATCGTCTCTGATCTGATGTCTTTTTAATGTTATTAACTTTTAATAGTAATATTATGAATACTGACAAGTATGAGAAAGACTAGTGCAATACAAAATCTGACTCAAACATGGACACCCCCCCCATGAAAGTTCCAGTGAGGACATAAGACATGACAATGAACAGACCATGTTCCTTCCTGTTGGTACAGTAGGAAGCTCTTCCCCCTAAAATGTTATGCTTAGCCACCAGACTATCTATAGCAGGGATCATCAACTAGATTCAGCCGCGGGACCATTATTACATTTTTTTCTTGAGCGGATGGTCAGGGGGCCGAAACATAATTATAAATAATTTGTAGACTGCAAATTGACCGCAAGAAGCCCAGACAGACATTAATATTTGACTAAAACATAATCATTTCAAACCCCGGTTTAATTTGTATACGATCGCATAGCTCTTTTTTATGCTTGCAAATACTTTTGAACAGATTTCCAAAACTAAAATCACTTGGAGATGATTTGCTGGTGTTCTTACAGTCTTATATTTTACATTTTAGCAGACGCTCTTTTCCAGAGCGACTTACAGTTAGTGAGTGCATACATTTTTCATACTGGCCCCCCCGTGGGAATCGAACCCACATCCCTGGCGTTGCAAGCGCCACGCTCGACCAACTGAGCTACAGGAGACCATATGTCCAACATTTTAAAAAATCAATACTGTATTTGTTTTTAACTTGGAGTATCCTAAGTATTCACTGTAGGGGACTATATGCTCTATGTTCCATTGGAGTATTCACTGTAGGGGACTATATGCTCTATGTACCATTTGGAGTATTCACTGTAGGGGACTATATGCTCTATGTTCCATTGGAGTATTCTAAGTATTCACTGTAGGGGACTATATGCTCTATGTTCCATTGGAGTATTCTAAGTATTCACTGTAGGGGACTATATTCATCTATGTTCCATTGGAGTATTCTAAGTATTCACCGTAGGGGACTATATATTCTATGTTCCATTGTCTGTGGGCTTGAAGTGCAATCTGGTACAGCTGGGAAGAAACACACATTCTATCTCATTGTACTACTGCACAGTAAAAGTACACACATTCTATCTCATTGTACTACTGCATAGTAAAAGTACACACATTCTAGCTCATTGTACTACTGCATAGTAAAAGTACACACATTCTAGCTCATTGTACTACTGCATAGTAAAAGTACACACATTCTATCTCATTGTACATTTGAGTCATTTAGCAGACGCTCTTATCCAGAGCGATTTACAGTTAGTGAGTGCATACATTATTATTATTATTTCTTTTCATACTGGCCCCCCCTGGGAATCGAACCCACAACCCTGGCGTTGCAAACGCCATGCTCTACCAACTGAGCTACATCCCTGCCGGCCATTCCCTCCCCTACCCTGGACCAATTGTGCGCCTCCCCATGGGTCTCCCGGTCACGGCCGGCTACGACAGAGCCTGGATTCGAAACAGGATCTCTAGTGGCACAGCTAGCACTGCGATGCAGTGCCTTAGACCACTGCGCCACTCGGGAGACTACTGCATAGTAAAAGTACACACATTCTATTTCATTGTACTACTGCATAGTAAAAGTACACACATTCTAGCTCATTGTACTACTGCATAGTAAAGTCACACATTCTAGCTCATTGTACTACTGCATAGTAAAAGTACACACATTCTAGCTCATTGTACTACTGCATAGTAAAAGTACACACATTCTAGCTCATTGTACTACTGCATAGTAAAAGTACACACATTCTAGCTCATTGTACTACTGCATAGTAAAAGTACACACATTCCTAGCTCATTGTACTACTGCATAGTAAAAGTTAACACATTCTAGCTCATTGTACTACTGCATAGTAAAAGTACACACATTCTAGCTCATTGTACTACTGCATAGTAAAAGTACACACATTCTATCTCATTGTACTACTGCACAGTAAAAGTACACACATTCTAGCTTCATTGTACTAATGCACAGTAAAAGTACACACATTCATGTGTAGGTTGGATTTAAGAACCTCACAACTTTCCCTAAATCACAAATGTTCTTAACTTCTACAAGATCAGCATGTGAACAGGCACCACATTTGTCATCTTCAGCGTGCAGGAGAAGGACACGGTTTGGCCAAAGTCTTCAAACTGCATAAAACAAAACAAACAACCCAAGGTCAGTGGTTTCTCGCTACTAGAGTACGGCGGCGTCCCAAATGGCACCCTATTCACTATATAGCGCACTAGCTTTTATCGGCTCTGGTCAAAAGTAGTGCACTATATAGGGAATAGAGTGCCATTTAGGCCGCAGAGATACTCCTAGCATCGATCTATGTTCTAATGGTCACACAGCCAGTACTGTCTTTACACCGTGTTGTTTCTCTGCATGATGTTATGAAGAACGCTCTCGAAACCTGGAACATGCCGATACATCTGAAAAGGGGAACAATGGATATCAGTTCAGAAATGTTTTGAGCTTAACTAGTCCTAAAGTAGAGACGTGACCGGGGTGAGATGGATAGAGGAGGGAGGGAGACAGACACAGAGAGAGGGAGAGAGAGAGAGGGAGACCGACAGAGACGCCTCACCATGCTGAGGGGATGGGCTGGCTACTTCCTCCTCCATGTTGATGTACGGAGCCACCAGAATCGCACCATCAACAGCATAGCCTGGTTTCCGGATCTGCTTGTACTCTATCCAACAGATGATGATCTCTTGCTCTTTCCAACTCCTTCGCTGTCAAGCCAAACATGGAAACATGTCATGACAAACATTTCTGTCATAGATCCATTATTAATGTTATGTTCAATCATTGACCTAGCGGCCAAACTGTTTGGCATGACAATGTGAAAAGTTTTGCCTGCCTGACAGACAGACTGGTGCCAGTCACAGACAGTAAAGACAACAGGAAAAATAACTATTGAGTGCGCCATAGATCAGTTGAATATAAAAAGTATGACTAGTTGAGAAAGCCATGCAATGATTTTCGATAACTGTGAAGGTTGATAAACTCATATCACTGTCTGCTCATTTGCTCATGTTGACCACTAGAGGGAGCTACAGACGTATCTAACGTTGACCACTAGGGGAGCTACAGACATCTAATGTCGACCACTAGGGGGAGCTACAGACATATCTACTGTCGACCACTAGGGGAAGCTACAGACGTGTCTAACGTTGACCACTAGGGGGCGCTACATACTTATTTACCATTGACCACTAGGGGGAGCTACAGACTTCTGTTCATCACCAGTGACATAATAATATGCATGGGAGGATCTCAATGGCATTTCCTTGATTCCTCCTGTCCTCCTCTCCTTCTTCTCAAAACCCATTGGAGGAGAAGGTTGGAGTGGAGAGACCTCTGACCTCATCCAATGGCATTTGAGAAGGAGGCGAGGAGAGAGAGGGGGTGAGGAATCATTGATGTTCTCCCTATATTTCCCGATTCTCCACGCTTTCACCAAAGTCCCTGTCATGGATTTAAAAACATATTGGATTGTTGTAGGAACTGTCTGGAGGGAGTAACTCGCCTTGCTCCTGTATCTTCACAGCGTCATTGGTCACCACCCTCCATAGAGAGTTCACACATCTCCACTTGGGGGAAAAGAGTCTAGAATGAAACCAAATCTTAAAAAACATAAACTCCTTTTTCCTGAAGTCACTACTTCAGCTTGTTCCCACAAATCTAAAATCATTGGATTGATGGAGGCATGGGATAGAGTCCTCTGTAGCTCAGCTGGTAGAGCACGGCGCTTGAAACGCCAAGGTAGTTGGTTCGATCCCCGGGACCACCCATACACAAAAATGTATGCACGCACGACTGTAAGTCGCTTTGGATAAAAGCGTCTGCTAAATGGCATATTATTATTATTATTATTATTATTATTATTATTGAGGGAGTTCCCACCATATTTCTCATACGTCATTTTCTTTAAAATCCGTGAAGGGAAGTAGATGCACACTTTGGGAGGAAGGATAAATAATTGGGACGTAGCCAGAGACTCGCCCAGGGAATGTCCCCTCAGACAGACCTGGCTGCTCGTGCTGCATGTCTTTACCCACTGGTACAGGTAGAGGGCGCCAAAGGTCATCCCTGCCCCACTGGACTCTCCATAACCTGGGGGACCCCACTGGACTCTCCATAACCTGGGGGACCCCACTGGACTCTCCATAACCTGGGGGACCCCACTGGACTCTCCATAACCTGGGGGACCCCACTGGACTCTCCATAACCTGGGGGACCCCACTGGACTCTCCATAACCTGGGGGACCCCACTGGAACTCTCCATCAACTGGGCTCAAGGGGACCCCAACCTGGGGGACCCCACTGGACTCTCCATAACCTGGGGGAGAAGGTGACAAAGCAGCCCTTCATGACGTCATTATGGCTGCTTTCCAAATGGCACCCTATTCCCTATATAGTGCACAACTATTGACCAGAGCCATCTGGGCCCTGGTCAAATGGGCCCATGGTCAATAGTAGACCACTATATAAGGAATATGGTGCCATTTGGGACGTAGTCAGTAACTACCAGATGAGCTACAGTACCTACCACATGAACGTCCTATAGACTTCTGAGAATGAATGAATTAATGCATTTTTTATTTTTGTCAAATCGCCATTGATGACCCATCCCTAAGTCTGGTAATGGCCCATATATGTGTATACAGTTGTTTGTTTCCCTGAAGTCATTGTATCATTTGCTCCATATCAAATCAATAGGGTCAGACCTGAACTGGCCGACTTTTACACCAGAGGGAGTAGACAACGTGTATCCATGGAAACGGGCAGAGAATGACAGCTATGTACACCATACAGAACTAAGGTCACCTTCTTCAGTCTGGACAGCCCCTGGGAACTAACATAGATAAGATAAGACAACGACGTTGTCCATTTAGGTCTACACAAAATGGAAATGTGTCTTTTGGCGCTCTGGCTTACAGAGAAAGTCAAAAACGTAATATATCCTCCATTCAGACTTTAACAGGGCAAGATGTTGTAGTTGGGAATGGGCCAAAACAATGGTAGCCTAGTGATGTGGATTATAATTTACAAGACATGACACATCTACAGTTGAAGTCGGAAGTTTACATACACTTAGGTTGGAGTCATTAAAACTCGTTTTTTTCAACCACTCCACAAATTTCTTGTTAACAAACTATAGTTTTGGCAAGTCGGTTAGGACATCTACTTTGTGCATGACACAAGTCATTTTTCCAACAATTGTTGACAGACAGATTATTTCACTTATAATTCACTGTATCACAATTCCAGTGGGTCAAAAGTTTACATACACTAAGTTGACTGTGCCTTTAAACAGCTTGGAAAATTCCAGAAAATGATGTAATGGCTTTAGAAGCTTCTGATAGGCTAATTGACATCATTTGAGTCAATTGGAGGTGTACCTGTGGATGTATTTCAAGGCCTACCTTCAAACTCAGTGCCTCTTTGCTTGACATCATGGGAAAATCAAAATAAATCAGCCAAGGCCTCAGAAGAAAAATAGTAGACCTCCACAAGTCTGGTTCATCCTTGGGAGCAATTTCCAAACGCCTGAAGGTACCACGTTCAATAGTTCGCAAGTATAAACACCATGGGACCACGCAGCCGTCATTCCGCTCAGGAAGGAGACGCGTTCTGTCTCCTAGAGATGAACGTACTTTGGTGCGAAAAGTGCAAATCAATCCCAGAACAACAGGAAATCACCTTGTGAAGATGCTGGAGGAAATAGGTACAAAAGTATCTATATCCACAGTAAAACAAGTCCTATATTGACATAACCTGAAAGGCCGCTCAGCAAGGAAGAAGCCATTGCTCCAAAACCACCATAAAAAAGACAGACTACGGTTTGCAACTGCACATGGGGACAAAGATCGTACTTTTTTGGAGAAATGTACTCTGGTCTGATGAAACAAAAATAGTACTGTTTGGCCATTTGGCCATAATGTTTGGAGGAAAAAGGGGTATGCTTGCAAGCTGAAGAACACCATCCCAACCGTGAAGCATGGGGGTGGCAGCATCATGCTGTGGGGGTGCTTTGCTGCAGGAGGGACTGGTGCACTTCACAAAATAGATGGCATCATGAGGAAGGAAAATTATGTGGATAGATTGAAGCAACATCTCAAGATATCAGTCAGGAAGTTAAAGCTTGGTCGCAAATGGGTCTTCCAAATGGACAATGACCCCAAGCATACTTCCAAAGTTGTGGCAAAATGGCTTAAGGACAACAAAGTCAAGGTATTGGAGTGGCCATCACAAAGCCCTGACCTCAATCCTATAGAAAATGTGTGGGCAGAACTGAAGAAGTGTGTGCGAGCAAGGAGGCCTACAAACCTGACTCAGTTACACCAGCTCTGTCAGGAGGAATGGGCCAAAAATTCCCCAACTTATTGTGGGAATCTTGTGGAAGGCTACCCAAAAAGTTTGACCCAAGTTAAACAATTTAAAGGCAATGCTACCGAATACTAATTGAGTGTATGTAAACTTCTGACCCACTGGGAATGTGATGAAAGAAATAAAAGCTGAAATAAATCATTCTCTCTACTATTATTCTGACATTTCACATTTCTTAAAATAAAGTGGTGATCCTAACTGACCTACAACAGGGAATTTTTACTAGGATTAAATGTCAGGGATTGTGAAAAACTGAGTTTAAATGTATTTGGCTAAGGTGTATGTAAACCCTCCGACTTCAACTGTATTCTCATAGATGAATTACTGGTAGGCTATGATGACATAAGCAGGCTGTCTCTCTCTTCTATTGAGCCTGGGGATGAGGTTAGCCATGGCAACGCTGAAAGAAGTGCAAATACAGTGGTATACGCTGACTACAGAATCAGAATATGAAGGTTTAGGCTACGGTACTTACTAGTGTGACTGTTCCGTTGTAACAGTTGTCAGTTTCGTTGTGTGACTCCTTCTTTTCAGCCCCAGGGGGTTTGCATTGGTGTTTTCATTTTCAGTATCTCTTTTCCTAATTTTTGAAGTGTGACATGCAGAGATCTTGACTTCGGGCCAGACATAGGAGAGAACGCGTAGGTCCACTTCCTGATGACACGGAAGATTGTGAAATATGGGGTGAATGGGGTGGTCTACGTGCAATGGGAAGCAATATTCTGATTGGCTCACAATAGTTATAAACGTCAACATGTTGATTAGGCTACACACACACACATTGGGATATATAATATGAGTTCTGTTTGATAACCGCAGGCTACAGAGGGAAACGGAGTCCAGACCCACTCATTATCATATGGGGAGGCAGGTAGCTTAGTGGTTAAGAGCGTTGTGCCAGTAACCGAAACGTTGCTGGTTCTAATCCCCGAGCCGACTAGGTGAAAAATATGTAGATGTGCCCTTGAGCAAGGCACTTAACCCTAATTGCTCCTGTAAGTCAAGGGAAGGGAGTGACAGTCAGCTATTCATGTCACTGTCTGTCACTTGTGTGTGTAGACTTATTATACAATTCAGACCACATTCTCATGCCAAAATTAAAGTAACTTTTGTTCAATTAAGTTTTCAACGTCTTATTTCAACCTATGCCTTTTATTTGTCATGTTTAGTCATTTATTAGCAAAGGATAATATGTGTATTTATATATATTTTTGACATAAAAGCTATTTAGAAACAATTACAGTTTTAAACTGATGCATTGGCCTTGAAGAGGAATTTTTGAATATCATATGGACGCCGGCGTCCATACTTGGGCTGGTGCGCCGTTGCTCCTCGCATACTCTCTCCTCGCCTCCTTCTCAAAACCCATTGGAGGAGAAGGTCAGAGGGGTGGGACCTATTTACACACCATTACAGAGGTGCGGGACATATTTAGTGAGTGCATATATTATCCCCCCCCCCCCCCCCCCATAATTTGACATTTGAAATGTCTCTATTCCATTGAAACTTTTGTGAGTATAATGTTTACTGTTAATTTTTTATGATTTTTTTCACTTTGTTTATTATCTCTTTCACGGGTTTTGGCAATGTAAACATGTTTCCCATGCCAATAAAGCCCTTAGAATTTAATTGAGAGGACGCGAAGAGTGAGCAATTGAGATTCGCCCAATGACTGAATCCGTGCGAATTTAGATTTTACCAGAGACTGCATCCGTACGACTGGAGAGCGGTTCAACGCGTCACCACCCCTTCCTCCCTGAAGAGCGGTTCAAAATCCGAAAGGAGATGCAGCAGGACGTAGAATGCATTTTAGCGTACTGAACAAGAACAAACCGTTTGACAATGGAATGTAATAAAGTAGGCTAAAAGTGATACGCCACCCCCAAACAAGAAGTTTAATCATCATGTTTCGGAAGGGTTTATTTGAGACAAAATCGGACGGACCGTTGTGAAACTTTTGTAGCGGTCTCCCTAAAACACGACCAGAGAGTCAGTGGAGTTGCTCTGGGTAAGTTTGTAGAATTTTTGTACATATTTATTATTTTAAAACATGTCAACTTACTTCATTACCTACCAGGCTTGTAGGCTACGATCCCAAAAAGCTAATACAAATGAAACGGTGTGGTTTAGTTCTTACCCCCCCGCCGACGACATTTCAACATGTTCTTCATGCAACGCCCTGAGTCTTTCGCTTTCTTCAACCCTATTTTCCTTGCCTGCAAATCGACGTTACTAGACCGTTACACTTTTTCAAAGCATTATCATCACAAAAAGTATGACAGAAATGCTCCAGATGTGCGTACCTCGTTACAATGTATCGATGTTCCAATCGTCACGTTTCAACAAGGTAACAAGTAGAATTTAGTCTGGTTACTTTGTTGCAACATGTTAATAAAACCGAGTCACTGTGAAAAATATGGGTTGTTTTTATGAATTCGAAGGACCAATAAAAAGGGATAAAAATACGTAGGTGCTGGAGTTTATGCCGGTAGCAACCACCACAGGGTGTCCGTTCAGAACACGAGGAAGCAGTAGTTCCAGTTCAAGGTTTAATGAAGATCCACACACACACATACAACACCATTCTCTCTGATACTAATTGTGGTTCTGTAAAGATAAGAGGAGAACTTAGGCTATAGCACAGTATGGGAAAAATATGCCTATTTGCATGTCAACAACTAAACAGGCTATGTGGACCCAAACACATGATAGATGCACAAAGAACAATAGAGCAATGTGGTCCTCTGTAGCTCAATTGGTAGAGCATGGGGCTTGTAACGCCAGGGTAGTGGGTTCGATCCCCGGGACCACCCATACGTAAAAATGTATGCGCACATGACTAAGTCGCTTTGGATAAAAACGTCTGCTAAATGGAATATTATATTATTATTATAGAAATAACTACACATTATAAAACAACATAAGCATGAGCGATCTACAACCGAAAATAGCCTAGCACCACAGACAAATGCTAACAAACGCTAATAAGCATGCTAAATGGTCATGCATTCCGGATAACAATGCTAATGCTAGCGGGAGTACGCAAGCTAGCTTAACACAAATGGTACATATTTACAACAGACACTATTTAGCTCCAAACAACAAGACATCAGGATTTTGGCACATACATTTAGCTGCATGCACAATAAACAACAGAAAGAAAAGCAATTTCTTCTAAGGAGGTAGTATAAGCAGGAGAGAAAAACAGGTTGGTCATCAGAATGGAAACTACAGACTGCATGAGGCCCCTGCCTGAGGCCCTGCCTGATTGGTTATTACCCTAAGTCCGGGAAAAAGGCTGCTGATTGGCTAATAAAATTATGATGATTGGCGTGACATTATTCCAATAGGAAAACCAAAAGAAAGTTGGGGTCTTGGAAAGGAGATGAGCTGGCCGTTTTTTTACAACCGCCCCCAAATGTGTTGTACATATTTGCTTCAACAGACAAGCCAGATAAGGGTCTGTAGCTTCTTGAGGAAGGGCGGGCAGCTGGATGAGTCGAGCAGCAGGCCTGACGTAGGTTCTGTCCTTGACTTGGATCTCTGCTGTCCTCACTTTCCCGTCTGCTCCAGGGATAACTGACTTGAAAGTTCCAACTTGCCAGAAGCCCCCACTCTCTTAAATTAAAGAAGTTTGGAACCACCAAGACTCTTACTAGAGCTGGCCGCCCGGCCAAACTGAGCAATCGGGGGAGAAGGGCCTTGGTCAGGGAGGTGACCAAAAACCTGATGGTCACTCTGACAGAGCTCCAGAGTTCCTCTGTGGAGATGGGAGAACCTTCCGGAAGGACAACCATCTCTGCAGCACTCCACCAATCAGGCCTTTAGGGTAGAGTGGCCAGACGGATCATCACAACAGTCCCAACTATAAGGTCTTTATCCTTGTGCCACTTATGGCGGCCTTGAAGTGCAGGTATGTAGTTCCGTGTGAAGCAGTGCCAGAAATGGTTGGCTAGAACCTGGCTGTGTCTCCATGTTTTGCGACTGAGCAGTTCAGACTCTGGGTAGACCACCTGTGGTAGTGACGAGTCTGGCCGCACCCATGAGAAGAGAGAGGAGTGACTGGATCCGGATCCGCAATGGCCGACGACACATATCCCAAGGGCTTGGAGTTCAAGATCCCTTCTATTTCGATTAGGACAGTCTCAGCACCTCTTCGGAGATGGTCTGTGCACCAAGAGTGGTTTGCAGGGCAGTCTTGATGGATCTGATCTCCCTCTCCCAGCATCCTCCAAAGTGTGGTGCACTTGGTGGGTTGAAGGCGAAGTGAATCTTCTGACTGGCTAACTGTTCCTGGAGCTGTGGGTTGAGAGCCACGAAGGCCTCCTGTAACTCTCGCTCCCCTCCCTTGAAATTTGTTCCTCGATCGGACAGGATCTCAAAGGGCTTCCCCTTCGAGCGACGAAGCATCTGAATTAGGAATGAATCAGAATCCATGTTCGTCAGTAGATCCACGTGTACAGCCCGGGTGGTCGTGTACTTAAAGATGATGCCCCATCTCTTTTCATTTCTTCGGCCAATCTTAATGATATACGGTCCAAAGCAGTCCACACCTATAGAATAAAATGTGGGCTTGTGGAGCCGTAGTCGGGCTGGAGGCAGGTCAGCCATCCTAGGTACATCTGGTTGGCCACTTCCTGCATTCAGTGCAGCCAAGCTGAAAACAGCGAATGGCTGCCCTCCCTCTCAGAATCCAGAACCTTCGACGTAACTCAGCAAACACCCTCTCTGGGCCCGGGTGCCTCAGCAACCTGGTGAGCGGAAGACCTGGGTCCAGAACCAATGGGTGAAGAACGTCAGGGCCCAGCTGGTCACACCTCCGAAGGCGACCTCTAACACAAATCAGTCCAGTGACCTGAGACAGCTGTGGAAGTTCATTCTCCCAAATAAGCCTACGCTTGGAGAAGATCTTCAGGTAGGTCTGGGTCATTCCACCCTCTTCTCTTATCCCAGAGCCTCTGGACCACAACCTTGGGCCGTGTGGTGTATGGCACGATGAACCCCAGTGGATCGTACTGGCAGGCAAGGATCCGATATATGTTGCGCATGGTGGGTTCAACTTTCTCCATGTGACCTTGCTTGTAGCCAAGAGTGTCAGACAGACATTGCCATGGTAATCCAAGGGTGTGCTCTTGGGGTTCCACGTCATCCACCGTTCTCCGACCTGGACTCTTGAGGTACGTGTTCGATGACTGCTGGAAGGTTGCTGGCCCACTGGCATAGATCAAATCCTCCCTCAGCAGTACTGGCTCTTACATTTTAGAGTAATCCGCAGAGGGGAGGCTTTGCAGACAGTTGTCTACATAGAAAGTGTTCTATAGAAAAGCGCACATCTTCTTCGGCTCACTGTGGTCGAACACATGCTCATGAAGGGCAAACATGGCGCAGCAGGGGCTACATGTTGTCCCAAGGAGAAGAACCTGCCACTCGTAGACATCAGCGTAACCATCACGGTTTAGGTCTCGCCACAGAAATCGGAGAAGAGGCTGGTCTTCGGGTAGCAGGCGGACTTGATGGAACATCCCCTTTATGTCACTGCTGATGGCCACAGAGTGTTCCCGGAAACGGTGAAGGACTCCAAGCAGAGTAGCTCCCAAGGTAGGTCCGGGAAAGAGTTGTTCGTTCAAGCTCTTGCCCCTGTAGTTGAAGGAACAGTTGAAGACGACTCTGTTTTTCCCATTGTGATGGACCATATGATGGGGAATGTACCAACCTTGGTACTCTTCGACTGCTACTGGGGATACCTTCTTAACGTGGCCGGACTCCACCAACTTGTGAATCTCTGCGTTGTACACTGCTGCTTTCTCTGGATCCTTGGACGGACTCTTCTTTGTCCCTCGCAGATGAGCCAGTACTGCCTCCTTCCTCCCTTGGAAGCTCTGAAGGTTCTTCTTCCACAAAAGGGGAGTGGCGTACCTTTTTGAACCCCGTCCACTTCGACCCTGACTGTCTTCTCCTCCAGTAGATGCATGGCTTCTACATCTTGTCTGGACCGTGTGAGTAGCTTCTCACTCCTGTACGGTAGTGTATCCAACTGCCAGAGCTTCTCTACATGGCTGAAGAGGTTGTGGTCCTCTGTAGCTCAGCTGGTAGAGCACAGCGCTTGTAACGCCAAGGTAGTGGGGTTCGATCCCCGGGACCACCCATACACAAAAATGTATGCACGCATGACTGTAAGTCACTTTGGATAAAAGCGTCTGCTAAATGGCATATTATTATTATATTATAAGAGCTCTGCAAATGGAGAGACAAGGGATATATGAAGGCACTGTTGTGGCGCAAGACTTTGCTGCAGGAACTTTGAACGACCTTGAAGGGTCCATCCGAGCGGAGTCTCGATGGCGGCAGGTCCGCCAGGGGGACCCAAATGCGCTGGCTCTGTTGGGGTGATTTTTAGATGGGGATAGTCTGATCCGATGAGCCTGGTCCAGTGCCTGGTCCAGCGGTTGAAGGGGTAGGCCTTTTTGAGGTGCTGATATCTGTTCTTAAGGGCTTCGACCGGGTAGGTATGCAGTGCAAGGCCCAACTCTTCAGCTGTGAAGGCTCTGTGGATGTCAAAGGACCTGTTTGGTTGAGTAACAGGGGCCACAGAGAATGACACAGAAGCTCCATGGACGACTCGGATATCTTGACGCACCGTACGAAGTGCCAAGTCCTCAGGATTTCCTTGGAGGCCTCGCTGCTTCATGTAGAAGTATAGTGCGCTCCGACCCGCCGTCCAACAGGGCGTACGTGTCAAGTGACTTGTTGCCGCTCCGCAAGATGACTCGACTCATCTTCAGCAGCACCTTGCTGCTGCCAGAAGGTCAACGAACATAGAGGGTCTCTGCGGTGGAGCTCACCAGGCAAATGCCCTATTGTTGACTCCTTTTGTGCTGGCGGTCTTCATAGCGTTCGTGCTAGTGTTCTTTTGTAGCAGTCGGGCTAGTGTTGACCTCGTGGAGAATCTCAAGATGCTGCTTCTCGCACTTCTTGCACTTGGCCTTGAGAGTACACTAAGCTGCTTGGTGTCCACACTTCCAACATCTTTCATTTGTCTTGATCCAGGATTCTTTCTGTTCTTTGGAAAGGAGCTGAAAGTTGTTGCATTGATTCATGTAATGCTGCGTGGTGTTTTCAGAACGGACAATACTTCTTTGGCTTCTCCCGTGACCTTTCCTCCGGAGACTGGTTCTTTGCAGAGAGTTCGACTTCGTCCTCTCTCTGCTCACCTCCATGGAGGATGGTGATGGTCTTGGGGAAGGATTTGTCTTTACACTGATCTCGGCGTGAGCTAGGGTGGTCCCTGCTTTGTTCGCTGCTGAACTGCGTGTCATCTAGTTGCACTCACCTCGTACTCAAGCCACTCTGCCAGGTGAAGGAGGGTTGGAATGGGTGTCTTGATGGGGTTCGCACATCTCTTGAAGCTGGCTCTTAGCTAAGAGGCGGGAGACGTGTGAGCCACACCTCAGTTCTGTCTGTCCATTACTCCCTAGCTGATCCAACATGCCAACCAAGGCACACACCCTCAGAGCGAATCTTCGGAATGCCTTGGTGTCACCACTTTTGATGTTGGGCCATCCATTAAACCTGCGACGCGTTGGCGGGCAAGCTGGTGGGGCTGGCCATACAGTTCTGTGAGGGACTCTATGGGTACCTGCTGTTGCTGTAGGAGTCGGCAATTAGCAAAGCCTCTTCCAACTTCAGGTGGTCCACCAATATCTGAAACTTGAAGCACTCTGTTGCATCTACAGGCAGCATATTGTCGAGGGCCACCTTCAGCCTTGCAGACTCTCGTGGGTCTTCATTGATGAAGTTGGGGATTTTAGGAGTTGGTCCACGGTAGACGCGCTCCCGGCCGGGTGGAGAAGGTGTGCGGTAGCGGACCGGTGAGTGCCGATGACGATCAGGTGAGTAGTCGCGGCGGTGACAGTCAGGTGTAGGCTGACCGTAGCGGTCAGGTGAGTAGTCGCGGCGGTGACAGTCAGGTGTAGGCTGACCGTAGCGGTCAGGTGAGGGCTGACGTTGGCGTTCAGGTGAGTAGTCGCGGCGGTGACAGTCAGGTGTAGGCTGACCGTAGCGGTCAGGTGAGGGCTGACGTTGGCGATCCTGTGAAGTCAGCCCTCTAGGTGGCGCTGTAGGCCTACGAGTTCTGCAATGAGAAGTCGACCGGTCTCGCTGGTGCGATGGCTCACGACGTCGAGGGGTTGACTGAGGTAGATGATGACGGCGAGGATGACTGGTCTGAGAAGGAGAGCCCTCTGATCCCAAGGTTTTCAATGAGCTGCTCTATCTTATCACGCTGCCTTTGTGACTGCAGTTTATCATCTCTGGTGCAGTTTATCATCTCTGGTTGTCACCAGCTATGCCCGCTCAGGCTGACTTTGATGACAATCTCTAGTCGAGGTGCGCCTGCTATGGGGGGGGCCGGTGAGTTGGCCATTAATGAAGGTGAGGCTCCATCCTCACTGTTGGGGGTCAGCCTGGGTAGTGACTTGAACTGTCGGGGACCCATTTGAAGCGGATTAATTTAGCTCTTCCGATTAGCTCCAGTGTCTCCCGTGTCAACTTCTCAGTTTCCTCTCCTATCAGCTTCAGGCACGTTACGACTGTTCTGGAAGAAGAACAGGTTTCTCTCTCATCTTGTACAGGAGGGTAGCTGCTGCTGGTCTTGTTGTGAGAGTAATTAATTCCACTCACAGCGTCCTCTGCTCGTGGTCCCTCGTTGGAGAGGTGTGTTGTTGTGTGTGTGTGTGTGTGTGTGGTTTCTGCCTTGACTCGTAGCTTTACCTCATAGTCGACCAGACGATGTGGGGGGGGCGAGTCTGACGGCGGGGACGAACCCACAACTTGTGGAGGATCTTGTCTGGAGACTGGCATCCTTGAACTTTGGCAGTTACTGAATCTGTCTCGTAAGGACCATGAAAAATATGGGTTGTTTTTATGAATTCGAAGGACCAATAAAAAGGGATAAAATACGTAGGTGCTGGAGTTTATGCCGGTAGCAACCACCACAGGGTGTCCGTTCAGAACACGAGGAAGCAGTAGTTCCAGTTCAAGGTTTAATGAAAATCCACACACACACATACAACACCATTCTCTCTGATACTAATTGTGGTTCTGTAAAGAAAAGAGAACTTAGGCTATAGCACAGTATGGGAAAAATATGCCTATTTGCATGTCAACAACTAAACAGGCTATGTGGACCCAAACACATGATAGATGCACAAAGAACAATAGAGCAATGTAGAAATAACTACACCAGGGGTGTCAAACTCATTTTAGCTCAGGGGCCACATGGAGGAAAATCTATTCCCAAGTGGGCCGGACCGGAAAAATCATGGTGTGTATATATAACTTAAAAACAACAACTTCAGATTGTTTTCTTTGTTTTTAATACGATCAACATACAACATAAAGCTGGAGCCTGAGGACAGTGTGTCCAAAATAGTACAAGCACAACATCACTATTAATCATAAAACACGTCAAGTTTATTTGAAAATTCTAAAGAAAAAGAACACAAACGCACAATGCCTCAGTGATTAACAGAACTGTTTCACAGATCACAGAACTATATCAGGGGGTCATTTCTCAGGCAGAAATGTAGATAAAAAGAATGAAATCCTGTTCCCCAAACAAGTGCAAGAACCACAGAGTCAAGAATAGGTTAAATATACAAATAAAATAAAATCAATTAAAAACAATAGCACATCAACATAAAAACATATAAACATAAAGCTGGAGCCTGAGGACAGTGTGTCCAAAAGCACAACATCACTATTAATCATAAAACACCTCAAGTTATTTGAAAGTTCTGAGGACAAAGAACACGCAAACACACAATGCCTCAGTGATTCACAGAAGTATATCACAGATCACAGAACTATATCAGGGTGTCTCATGTAGCACTTTAAGTGGGGTTGCATAGTTTATTTGACTCCTGATACCTGGCATCTTTTAGCTTTCACCAGCGCATCAATATCAGGCGTCACATCCTGAGTGGCAGCCAACTTCAGGATGTGATTCAAGTGCTTGTGCGTGAGCCTTGAGCGCAGCTTTGTTTTATTTATGCTCATTACAGAGAACTTGCTCACAAAGATATGTGGTTCCAAACATGCACAACAGTTTTGCAGCGAGGGCTGTCAAGTTGGGGTAACCTGGCAAGAGATTCTGATTAAATGTGTCCAAGCCAGCTGCGGCAAATTTGCCCTTCAAATCCGAGTCACACTGCAAGTCTATTATTTCAAGTTGGATGCTGACGGGCAGATCAGAGGGATTCACGGTGAATGGCGAGCAAAAAACGTTGAAGTCTTTCTCCAGTTCACCAAAAATCTGAAGGCGTTGCTCGAACTCCCGTAACAGTCCCGTTATTTTATCTTTGAACCGCTTCATGTCTGCCACATGTTGGGTCGCGCACACATTTTTCAGACGGGAAGTGAGCTGCATCACCACCGGCAAGTTGCGTCTCCCACAATGACAGCTTCAACTTGAAAGAACGTATGCTGTCATAATACTGCGTGACAACTTTGTTGCGCCCTTGCAGCTGTTTGTTCAAGTTATTCAGGTGCTCTGTAACATCCACCATAAATGCAAGGTCCTCAGCACCTCGGCTTAACCATCTTACCTCAGTGTGGTATGGCAGGCCATAGATGTGGTCTTTCTCTCTGAGAAGGCTGTCAAACTGACGGTGATTCAGGCTTCTGGATCGGATGAAATTAACAGTTTGGATGACCACCTTCATGACGTTATCCATCTTTAATGACTTGCAACACAAAGCCTCCTGGTGCAAAATACAGTGAAAAGTCAAAAAATCACGTCCTCCATTTGCAGATTGCACTTTCTCTCTGAACTTTGTCACAACGCCTGCTTTTTTCCCGATCATTTTGGGCGCACCATCTGTAGCCAGGCTGACAGCGCGGGACCAGTCCACTCCGACCCTGTCCAGCGCGCCGACGAGTGCGGTAAAAATATCAGCTGCTGTCGTTATCTGTCATCGGCACCAACTCCACGAACTCCTCGGTGACAGTCAATGTGTCATCAACTCCGCGGATGAAAATGGCCAGTTGTGCAACATCTGTAATGTCCGTGCTTTCATCAATTGCAACCGAAAACGCAATGAATGACTTTACTTTTTGCTTCAACTGGCTGTCCAAATCCACTGAAAGATCGGAAATCCTGTCTGCAACTGTGTTTCTTGTCAGGCTGATATTTGCAAAAGCCTGCCGCTTTTCAGGGCACACAATCTCCGCTGCCTTCATCATGCATGTTTTTACAAATTCACCCTCACTAAATGGTTTTGAAGCCACTGCGATTTCATTAGCAATGAGGTAGCTAGCTTTCACTGCAGCGTCACTGATGTCTCGGCTGTGAGTAAACACAGACTGCTGTTTCTTCAGACCCGCCAACAGTTCATTCACCTTCTCTCATCTCCCTTGTCCTTGAAAGTTGTCATATTTGTCGGCATGAAGACTCACATAGTGGCGACGAAGGTTATATTCTTTCAGCACTGCAACATGCTCTGAACACACCAAACATACAGCTTTCCCATTCAATTCCGTGAATAAATAGGATGACCATTTTTCTTGGAACACTCTGCACTCTGCGTCCACTTTTCTCTTTTTTGACAGAGACATATTGGGGCAATGAGGGTGCCAAAGCACATAATGTTAAAAGTAGAAGCCGTAATAAATATCGCGGGCAAAACAAAGTAGCTCATTGGCTGCACGTGCTTGACCTACTTGCTCTGCCCCGGTATAAACAGTTTGCTTGCTTAACACAATTGCTATTGCGCCATCCAGTGGACGCAATTGGAACAGCAGTTTATTTTATTGAAAAATTGCAGCGCATTTTTATACTTTACAAAATAATCTCGTGGGCCGGATTAAAGCCGTTTGTTTCATAACTTAATTGTGACAATTGTTTGCGTTTTGATTGTTAGTGTACATCACCACCTGGTATGGTAACTGCTCGGCATCCGACCGTAAGGCGCTACAGAGTGTAGTGCGTACATCCCAGGACCTATATACCAGGCGGTGCCAGAGGAAGGTCCAAAAAATTGTCAAAGACTCCAGTCACCCAAGTCATAGACTGTTCTCTCTGCTACCGCACGGCAAGCGGTACCGGAGCGCCAAGTCTAGGTCAAAAGGGCTCCTTAACAGCTTATACCCCCAAGCCATAAGACTGCTGAACAATTAATCAAATGGCTACCCAGACTATTTACATTGACCCCCCCCCCCCCCCCTTTGTTTTTACACTGCTGCTACTCGCTGTTTATTATCTATGCATAGTCACTTTACCCCTACCTACATGTACAAATTACCTCGACTAACCTGTACCCCCGCACATTGATTCGGTACCGGTACCCCTTGTATATACAGTTGAAGTCGGAAGTTTACATACACCTTAGCCAAATACATTTAAACTCTGTTTTTCACAATTCCTGACATTTAAATTCCTGACATTTAATCCTAGTAAAAATTCCCTGTTTTAGGTCAGTTAGGATCACCACTTTATTTTAAGAATGTGAAATGTCAGAATAATAGTAGAGAGAATGATTTATTTCAGCTTTTATTTCTTTCATCACATTCCCAGTGGGTCAGAAGTTTACATACACTCAATTAGTATTTGGTAGCATTGCCTTTAAATAGTTTAACTTGGGTCAAACGTTTCGGGTAGCCTTCCACAAGCTTCCCACAATAAGTTGGGTTAATTTTTGCCCATTCCTCCTGACAGAGCTGGTGTAACTGAGTCAGGTTTGTAGGCCTCCTTGCTCGCACACGCTTTTTCAGTTCTGCCCACACATTTTCTATAGGATTGAGGTCAGGGCTTTGTGATGGCCACTCCAATACCTTGACTTTGTTGTCCTTAAGCCATTTTGCCACAACTTTGGAAGTATGCTTGGGGTCATTGTCCATTTGGAAGACCCATTTGCGACCAAGCTTTAAATTCCTGACTGATGTCTTGAGATGTTGCTTCAATCTATCCACATAATTTCCCTTCCTCATGATGCCATCTATTTTGTGAAGTGCACCAGACCCTCCTGCAGCAAAGCACCCCCACAGCATGATGCTGCCACCCCCGTTCTTCACGGTTGGGATGGTGTTCTTCGGCTTGTAATTCACCTCCTTTTTTCCTCCAAACATAACGATGGTCATTATGGCCAAACAGTTCTATATTTGTTTCATCAGACCAGAGGACATTTCTCAAAAAAGTACGATCTTTGTCCCAATGTGCAAACCGTAGTCTGGCTTCTTTATGGCGGTTTTGGAGCAGTGGCTTCTTCTTCCTTGCTGAGCGGCCTTTCAGGTTATGTCGATATAGGATTCGTTTTACCCTTTTCCTCCAGCATCTTCACAAGGTCCTTTGCTGTTGTTTTGGCATTGATTTGCACTTTTCGCACCAAAGTACGTTCATCTCTAGGAGACAGAACGCGTCTCCTTCCTGAGCGGTATGACGGCTGCGTGGTCCCATGGTGTTTATACTTGCATACTATTGTTTGTACAGATGAACGTGGTACCTTCAGGCATTTGGAAATTGCTGCCAAGGATGAACCAGACTTGTGGAGGTCTACAAATGTTTTTTTCTGAGGTCTTGGCTGATTTCTTTTGATTTTCCCATGATGTCAAGCAAAGAGGCACTGAGTTTGAAGGTAGGCCTTGAAATACATCCACAGGTACACCTCCAATTGACTCAAACGATGTCAATTAGCCTATCAGAAGCTTCTAAAGCCATGACATCGTTTTCTGGAATTTTCCAAGCTGTTTAAAGGCACAGTCAACTTAGTGTATGTAAACTTCTGACCCACTGGAATTGTGATACAGTGAATTATAAATGAAATAATCTGTCTGTCAACAATTGTTGGAAAAATTACTTGTGTCATGCACAAAGTAGATGTCCTAACCG